ACTGGTACATCTAACATTAGAAATTGAGATCTTCTGGGTCGTGACGCCATGTAGTTTTACAGATGGTTCGGGGTCAACCCTGAGGATGGAGATAATACGTTCCCCCGAAATATTGGTAACCATCTACAAGACACATGGAGTCACAACCCAGACGTTCACAACAGAACACACTGTATTGGTCTTCTGGGTTGTAACGTGTGAATTTGTAGTTAGATACCAAAGTTTCGGTCGAACATACTGCCTCCATCTTCAAGGCGGCCCTGGCATTTTTTCATCGTTGAGGAAGCCGCAAATATCAAATCAAAATAGTGTTGTGCAACGCGTCACTTCAAAATGATTTTCGTCTCGTAACCTCTCGTCAAGGCCCACTTTGAATTTAACAATACAACTCGAATATTCATGGCGTCCATTCATTTAGCAGAATATGCATGTATCCACCCAAAATCGCGGAACGACAAAACAGAAAAGACGGTGGGGTGCACACCCTTCGCGATCACCCCTAACGGTTCTTACGTGTGTCCTGTCAGAGTCACCCCTTTGTTCGTTTTTACCCCTGCAGGAATTTTATTTGAAAATTTTAAAGAGCTCAAAAAAGTTATTGTATGCGAGCATATGAAAATATCTTCTCCCTTGTTTCCTGAGCCCTTCAACAAAAAGCCAGAACAGAATGCTGTGTTCCATGGAGTACACGCAGCATCCGAAAGGGTCCATCGTGATTTTCATACATAATTTATTTTAACGTCCATTCAGCAAAAGTACCTCAACTCGAAGACGAACCAAGTGTCGGACGAGAGACGAATTGACTTATCAGTCCAAAGCTCATCAGATTACTCTTACCAGAACACAGAGAGTCGGAAAATTGTTTCTCACTGGATTTAATGAGCAATATCACTCCCAGGAATTAAAGCGAGAAGCCGAGAATAGGGACAACTGGAGCGCTCTTTTTGGGCAGAGCAATGGACCTGTCGTAAGACAGAACACTTAATAATAATAATAATAATAATCACTCCCAGTGGTTAACTACATAAACGTACTTTAACGCGATGAAGTTATTAAATATGAATCGATAAAAGACGGATTATTAACACGTCTCAATGACATAATACGAAAAAAATGTATATAATTAACCACGAAAAATCTTGGCCATCACTATCGACAACATAGAGATTACAAAGTTAAAATAGTTACAGAATAACTTACGAGTTGAAAGAAGTTAAATTTTCTATTCTGAGGATGATAACAATAACAACACCTCGTAAATATTAACAGATGACAGGCGAAAGGTAAATACTTAAGAATAAACAAAATTATCAGCTGTTCAATAAACGTAACAAATGCATTAATTTGACGTCTTCCGATACCAACAAAATTCTGAAAACATCTTCCTTACAATCGATTTTCCCCTGGTCATTGTCAACGACACAAAATGCGCGGTTTTGAAAGCTTCGAAGCAACACATACCTTGAAGATAGAGGCAACAGTCTTCACCGAATGTTGATAAACAACCTCTTGACTACACAGTATCATAAACGTTCCCATCCTGTTATGAAGCCATGAAAGTAAAATTAAGTGTAATATTGATTTCGGCATTACAGAGCGGCGAGGAGCTAGATTCACGCTCCGTCCGCCTCAAAAGACAACAAAGAATAACTTATCAGTTTGAAGCGGAAGCTAGTCTGAATAGTATTTAAGAATTCAGTCCGTACCGCAAAGAAAACACAACATTTCACCGTTACGAATACCAACTGGTTTACGCTGCATAGGAAAATGAAACCGGCCTGAGAATCATACTAAACGCGTAGGTAACAGAATTCAGAGTTACCGACTGGCACGCTTTGAAGCGGTAATCTGTCGGCACCTGTGTGTGATCCGCCACTGATCTGTGTCAGCAGTATAGGAATGGCAGCGGGCATGCCTTCACTGCCTGCCCCCACCAACACTTGGTGCACTGTGGGAACCCAGAGCCCACACCGTTCTCACACACAATGCGACGGGCTGCCTACCCCTATTTAACCGGTCCTCCATGAAATGAATCTCCGCTCAATTTTGGAATCTCCTCCTCAGCGTCTGTCCGCGTATTGAGATGAGAAACGCACAAAGAATTTTGGTCAAAGAAAGAACGTGGAAGGAAGACCACAACTTGGGAAATCTAAGCGTAGATGGAAAAAAGATACTATTAAAATTAATCTTAGGGCTAAATTGATGCGGCCCGCGATACAGTCCCAATGGCAGGCTTTTGTGAGACTTTCATAAATTTGCGGAAATTTCTTTGACAGATGGCCCGACTATCAGCTTTGAAGAAGGTCCCTGAAATATATATATATAGGAGTAGGAATTGTCACTGAAGAAGGCAGTAAAGAAGGAAAAAGAATTTGTTCCCTTTTAGTCTTTTGAATATGGCGGAGAGGTCGAAAGCCCTTCTGTCTACAAAATTAAAAAAAAAAAAAATCTCTCTGTATTCAAGACACTCTCCAGATCGTGTAAAGAGAAAACTCAGGTCGTCTTATGAAACGGCAATTTTGAATGGGCAATTCGCGGACACAACGCAGAAATAAACGTGTTTTAAACAGAACAAAGCTTCATAATTTCAACTACACCAGATGTGATTAAATTGATTATATGAAACAAATAAGGCGAAAGAGACACGTGCAGAACTTTAATCAGGAAACCTGAAGAAAAAAGGCAGCTGGGAAGACCTAGAAAAAGACTGTAGGATAATATTAAAACGGATCTTAGACCAAATGTGGTTTGAGGGTGTGATCGACGAGTTTCAAGTGGCGGAATTTCCTAGGTCTTTAGGTTCCATTACAGAACGGAATATTGAACTATAACTTTTCAATACAGGTCTCTGCATCACGAAGTTTTAATAATCTCAGTGCCTCGTATAAGATTTAATAAAGATCTGACTCAATCGGAAATGAAGTTGAATTTTACGAATCGAAAATGACGCACAGAATCCCGTAGGAACACAAACGGGGTTATGTTTTCTTTATTCATGGACCAATTACGATATAAAGTACGTTCTGTTATCTATGTAATGGCATTCTAAACAAAGTTGAGGCCAGCAAAGTAGTTTGTTCCTCCCTCCAGTGGTTTGTATCAGATCTTTTATCGAAACCGAGAGGTCTCGTTGACTGGACACGCGTCTTATAACCACTGACCACGAAAATTCACTCAGCAACAATAATTCGCACTAGTATCGTATATCTAGAAATGTTACGTCAAGTTTCATCATCATCTTGTACTTTGGTTCGAATTACAAGATAACAAATCATTTCTCAAATTGCATTCAGTCTGATATTCAATATCTGTTTAAGCAGAGTAAAGTGAACTCATCCTTCTGGTTCTCAAACATAACTCCATGAAGACGTATGGGGTAGTGAACGCATAGCTCCACACATTCTAAATCTCGACCCCGGTACCCATAACACAGGAAGCTTTATGGACCCCAAAGCCGATCTGTTAAGATGTTTCAAAACGTAAAGTAACTAAGGAAAAACGAATTAGATCATGTGAGATTTCAGGTTAACACAGCGGCGAGTAAGGTACATGTCTTCTGGGATGTTTCAGACGTGTTTGCCTCCTCCATCATCAGGACGATGTCCTCAGATCAAATATTCTGATTTTTTTCCATCGGAGAAATAAAGTAGAAATGAGGGCAGACATAAACTACGCTGACTCAGTGTTTATTTTTATATAATGTGAAAGTGTTGTGTAATAACCCTGCGCTAACCCGCGTTTGGAACAAAAAGTGCGAACAATCGGGAGCCACTATCTCCCACCGAGTTACTTTCTAGAGCTCGTGAACGTCATCTGTGTTCAGTTAACGTAACCATTCATAGTGACGACAACAATTTCAAAACAAATTCTGTTAATAAACTAGACATTTGTATTGTAAATAGAATAAAAATCACGATTGTTCATAAAAAAAGACAAAAATATGGACAACAATTTGTGCAAATCGTAGTAAGTGAAACTATTGTCAGAACTTGTTAACAAACAAACAGACACTTCAAAGAGATACTCGAAGGTCGACCGCAACACACCAAAGATAAAATTCAATCCAATGCTGGCTGCATTTAAAAACCTGTCACGACACGAGACTGGTTTTTAAATCAGGGGTTTTCGACCAGCGGCCCGCGCGACATGTTCAGGGCTGCCCGCGTGCATTATTGTAATATTGTATCATTCTGCGTGAGGATAAATATTTATTTTGGTATCAGGAAAAAGTCTCGTTAATTCCGCCAGCATTTGGCAGTAACTGTCGCTGTGAGCTTATTTAATAACGTCAAATTAATGGAATTCTACAGCAAAATTAGTGTCAAATATATCACTAATGGCTGATATTTCTATCGAAAATTCTTGAGAAATACGTGAATCTGTTTTCAGCAGTATGAGTAACTTAGCAGTTCTAACATCCCGCCATCGCGTTTAGATAAACTGAACTCATTTGTAACCTTACGGCCCGAGAGTCGATAAGGGCGAATGTGACCTCATGAATGGAAAAAGGTTGACACCCCTATTTAAATAATTCTCAGGTAATTACACTATAAAATGTGAGATTCGTAACAAGATATAAAAAAAAATTACCAGTATTAATTGGTACTAACAAGAGATTTTACTTATGAAATAATTTTATTTTTTAAAAAAAAAACTAAGATTGAACGGAGCGGTAAAACAGCGTGCTTTCTTACAACAGTCTAAAGTGGCGCATTTAAATACTTTGTCATTCTCCTATTCCGACTTCCAAAATGAACAATGACGCACACACGTCAACCATGCGCTGGGTTCCACAAGAATTTCGGAACTTCGAAAATATTTTTTCCCACGTTTTAAAACTTTCCCAGGTGGTTCTCAGCATCCAACTTTTTTTTTCTTTCTGTCTTCTGCTTTTGTCGTAGAAGGGAGCAGAACGGGAAGGCGTTTTCTCCCCTTCTTCACCCACTCCTTCCCAACTCCCCCTTAACCTGCTTCAAAACAATGGAGTCCCCTCAGTTGCCCCTCTGGCCCCATCTTCATTCCGATAGACACAAGCTTCGTACAATACGAATTCCCATGGTTCTAACAGAATCTCCTCACCTCCCCCCAAATCCTGCACACGCATACACGCGTGTTGTGCGTGGAGTGTGTAGTAACGCACAAATTTCCCCCACCACTGTTACGTCCAGCTGCTAACTTGTTACAGGAACTGTCAGAGTGTAGTGAGAAGGGGGTATTCCTCAATTGTTGAGAGCGGTCGATCAGTTCCTGAAGAACTTTCCTCCAAGGTAGACTGAAATTGTTGTGTTTGCTGGATGTGCGATGTGTCTTAACGCGAAATAAGTTAAAGTCTGTCTCTTATTCGCTGTTATATTTACAAGACGAAACGATTTAAGAAGACCTACGTAGAAGAATATTATTAAAAGTGGTTTTTTTTGTAAATATTTTAAAAAACAACGAACGTGTTTTATTATCTCTCAACGATAAATTTTTAACGACGAAAGCTGTTGGTCTGCTTTCGAATCGGTAAGAACGTTTGTTACTTTTATAAATTTGTATAAACTGCATTCAAGACATCAGAGATTGAAAGATGTTTCTTCTGTGACATGTGACTGAAGTTTATTTTAATGTGCAGTGTTTGTTACGTTCATCATGCCAATCAGCGAGGATGAATTCGAGCATAACAAATCCCAGCATCATGGGATGTCCAAGGCGGAGCAGAGAAGGGTAAGGATAATTTGTTATTCATTAATACTGCTTTAATGGAGAAACTGTCAGTCGCTCAGCTAGTCAATAATTCCTCCCCCCCCCCGTATTTTACGGAACACGATGTTTCTTTACACAGACGTCACAAGTTTAATAATTAAAAACTTGTTTCCCGGGGTTAATTCGCAGATAAATTTGTGAACAAGTTTACAAAACTGAATGTCTGAGTTGTAACTGTATCTGGATGTTAAAATAAATAAACATATTTTCCTAAATTCCCGCCAAACGGTCACTGGATTCGGTTCTGGGGCTCTAAGAACATAAATGTCTCAGAGAAACTCTGCTTGAAACGTAAATTAATGGTAAGATACCACGAAAACTATAGAAATACGTTTATGGCAAATGAATTTGAATGATTGACAGATAATCTTGACATCCGATGTAGTGGTTAAGCTATCCGTTTTACATTATAGTGACTTAGGGTTCAAGTCGCCGCTAACTTGGAAAGGTTTTCGTGGATTGTATTAATAAATTCGGTTAGTACCCGGCGTTCGATCACGACAATTTCATTCCACGTCGTGTCCAATCCATGACTCGTAATAATAACTCCGTTCGACACTACACAATTGAAACAGAGTCGTTAAATAATCTAAAAACAAATCCCATTATTCATGATCATTTTCTCGTGTCATTCAGCCCCCCTTGTAACCTCCGCAGTTGGACCACCGTTGTTAAATAACGCATAAATACCGGTATTTTAAGATATTAACGGCATCTTTACGTGAAGAGAACAATTTTGTCTGGTGCTATTTCACTGATTTGGTACCTCGGCTCCATCTTCACGCCACAAATTAAAACACGACTTCTTTCTGGAAATGAGCAGTGGCCTAGTCGGCAAGACAGCAATCTGTAGGGTTTTCAGTACAAATTAAGTGAGGCTGAACTGACCATATAAATTTTTGCTTTCTAAGGAATTTCCCCAGCAAAATTCTGTCTCCCAAGTAACGCAATCATCCAGATTTAATTACCATAATACGTGTTATTCATTGTGTGGTTTTACGTGTTCGACTGAAGGCACGCAATGCAAAAAGTTTGAAACTCCAAGCAGATATTTATCCTATTTCATTATATCAAAGGAAGTTTCAATTTTCGAACAGGACAGTGGCCGGGGGAGGGTAGGGGATTGGAGGGGAAGTTTTTCAGTTTGAACTTCCGGACCGGCTGTTTTAACTATCACAGATCATACCTTGAAGAGACTGAGTAAAAAACCCTTGACTGAAAGTCTGATCTCCCCATGCGTTCTACATGTCTTTTAATTTGACTATCGTACTTTTGGAGAAGTGTACCAAGACTGACAGCTCCTTAAGTCTGAATGTTCTCAGACCACTAAGGTTAAGAATGAAATTACGCACTCAAGTCTGAGCGAATTGTTAGCACCAAACTGATATAAGAGATCAAGTGACAATTGGTGTACTCTGACGGGTGTTTCCGTCACTAAAACGATGAGAGAGTTTCAGGTTTTGTGTTACAAATGCGTGTTTATTTGTGCAGAGCAACAAACCAATCATGGAGAAGCGACGCAGAGCTCGTATCAACCACTGCCTCAACGAACTAAAAGCCCTCATCCTGGACGCGATGAAAAAGGACGTAAGTCTCAGCCCTGCAGCTTCCTACGTAGATGAATGATTTTCACATCTTTTTTTGCGAACCCAGAACCCTGTTTCCCACATCTTCCCTGTTGGCTTCAGGTCCCCAGATAACAAATCCTCCCTTCAGGCAAACCTTGCTCACAGCACTGGTACAGCTGCTAAGTCCTGTCTGTATACCCAGTTATTCCTTTAAAAATTCCAGGAATAAGCACCAAAGTCATCTACAGAAACGCAAAGACATGTAACGTAAAAGTTCTACGTCTAAATTGACCATAAATCCGAAAATTCTACCAGCAGGACAATGGTAATTTAGAAAATATTACAGCAAAGTAGAAAAAAATTATTTCGCGTTCATAAATTCCAAATTCTGCCAATAAAACACCACTAACCCGCGAATTCTGAAACCTACAGGCAACTTTGCCATTTCTGTATGTGGGCCACAGAACGTTTCTGATTGCTGTGTTCTTGGAAACACCAGGGTTCGACCCTCATCCCTTATCATTCATATACTTAATAAATTATTAATTCTCGCATCTGAAATGTGACCCCCTGTACCACGGATGAGTTTGAGAATTGGACCATCTGGAAATCACAGTTTCTTGACGAACGCAGCCGAAATGCCAAAGTCTGTTTCGTGTTTTTGTCGGTGGGAACCTGCCTCGTAAATATTATTTACACTTTGTCGAAAGGGTAATTAAAGAAATACCGAGGCTCCGCCCATACAGAGTTATTCCAGTTAAATTACATAAAAATTTTGAGCATGAAAAGACGAACCATCACAAATGTTTTCGCTTTCTGAAACATTTCGCATACAACCAGAGGGTTCGCGGGCCACATTTTCAATATCGCCAACTTTAAAAAAAAAACTCCCCCAAATCACGGTTTCGTAGTTTAAAATTCGTGGAATAATGAGGCGAACTCCGGCGGCGGTCGACTTGTTCTGTGGGAAGGGCGACATTTTGAAATAGTGTAAATAAAAACAGGTCTGAATAGTTTCGGTGACGGATGAGAGTGTTTGTGTTTCTGTGTTTCCTGCCGCCATATGGTGTTTGGTTCCCATGTGAGGTTGTGGTAGCCTGGACAGAAAAATTCCCACGGTCTTCCTCCAGCGAATGCCTCCAGTCGCCTGCCCAGTCTTCCAGCTAACAGCAGAGCATAAGGGGAGAATAAAAGGTGGGCTTATGGCTCGGAGCATGTTTGGGCCCTGAGATCCAGTTTGATAATTATGGGGAGGGATGTCACCGGAATAATGGAGCTGACATACGGTCTCTGACTCTTATTGATCATCTGTTGCCGTGTAAATTAAGTTACCATGACTGCAGAAATGTTTTATTGCGAGCTGCTGTCATTATATTAAAAGGCAAACACGTAGGAACTTCAATTCAAAATGGTAATAATTCATTTGCAGGCTACGTGTTAATTAAATCCTGGAATTGACACTGTGTCTTCCCAACCAGAATTATACAGCCCCCCCCCCACCGAAATGCTGAAATACATGTACAGTTTTAATGCTGACCGATTTTAAGGACAATTATAAATTTTTGAAAAAAAAAAAAAAAAGAAAGAAAGAAAGAAAGAAAGAAAGAAAGAAACCAACCCTACAACATAAAGTTGCAAAACCACAGCTTAGAAACACAAGCAAAGTGTTCAGGTTAACCGTGTTAGCCTGGTTAACACCAAGAAAAACTAAAAATAAAAATTCTCACATCCGCGGTTTAGTGGTATCCCATAACCCAGAACACAGTAAAACCATAAAAGCAAAATTCATTCTATCCCAAAACCACCCCCCACGTGCAAGGATATCATACTGAAGAAATTACATTTTTTTATTATTCGTATCTAATGCATACGCTACACAATTCTTATCCATCTAATTTAGATCTAGCACAATATATTTTCTGCATCAAACAAAATCTTTCAATAACACAGTTTTCCATTGACTTCGCAGCCAGCACGCCATTCGAAATTGGAGAAGGCCGATATTCTTGAGATGACGGTGAAACACCTCCAAACAATACAGCGCCAACAGCTAGCCATTGCCGTGGCGACAGACCCGACCGTGCTGCACAAATTCAAGACCGGTTTCAACGAATGTGCCAGCGAAGTCAGCCGATACATCGGCCGCATAGAAGGCGTCGAACCGGCAGTGAAACAGCGCCTAGTGGCTCACCTCGCCAACTGCGTGTCAGGGCTCCAACAGTTGTCACCCTTCACTTTTGGGGGTTGCAGTGCGATTAGCAGTACCATCGGGAGCATGTTCCCTACAATGGGATTGTCAACTGCACTTCATCTTCCTCTACAGCAAGGACCAAATACACCATCCAGCACTACAGGCCTGCCAACAATCCTGCCTCATATCCCATCTGGAGATGTCAACAATAATCACCACCACAACACAGGAACCAGGCTGCAGATGACAAGTGGCTTACAGCTGATTCCAAGTCGTCTCCCCACAGGAGAACTTGCCTTGCTTCTCCCTAACAGTGGTCAACTCCCTGGAAACGTTTTACCATTTTTCCCACCCCCATCGGCGACACAGGGAACATCTACGACAACCCCAACAACTTCAACCGCCACATCAACCCTGACCAACGCAGAAAATGTACGTCTGAGCTCCACAGTTACCAGTGGCACCATCGACAGGTCCCATCCAAGTGCATTCACGGCCGTCGCAAGGTCTCAGAGTCCAACGCCTAACCAGAATCGACCTAACAGTCCACTAAGTTTGCCGCTGGACGCCTGTTCGACAAGATTACAATCCGGAAGTCCACCCTTACTTAGTCCCACTTCGTCCATCTCAAGCTGTGATACAATGGACACATATCCTGGTCCGAACACACCTCCGCCACCAACGCAACTATCTCTCGTCAATCCTCATCCGAGTAACCAGCAACTTCAAAACCAGACGCAGTCTTATCCTATAAACGTAAACCAGTTCAAAATTCCTCTTACAAGTCCATCTACAGGTTACAACGTCTATCATTTTCCCGTGATGGAAACTCAGAAACAACCGGTATCACCACAGCAACAGTCTCTGGTGACTTCGACATCATCCCCCGCTTCGGATGCCCCTGGGAAACTCAGGCTTCCAATGCAGACTGCAGACTCACCATCAACCGGTATCTTACGGACAGTGACCGAAGTTAAGCTGGCTTTCAAAACGGTACCGGTGACGTCAGAAAAGTCGTCACCCGCTATCCGAACCATCGAAGCACTTCCGACTGTATCTTCCTCAAATCCTTCCTTTCATCACGACCTTTCCGTGACACTGTCTACGCCAGTGAATCAGTGCTTGTCGGTAGTGACTACAGCCCCTGGAAGTGCACCTTTTGTAGAAAGACATCATACTGTGGGGACGAAGGCCCCTCCCTTAGACTTTTCCGTTAAGAAAGACGATTTACAAAGTACAGCCACACAGACACCATCTTGCAGCAAGAGGCAGCTATCGACAAGTTTCACTGCAAATAACTTTCCCGGTGATTTTGTTTCACAGTCATTCCCATCGCCAAGTAAAATGATGAGGTTGTCATTCAGTATGCAAAACGAAATGCTCCAGAAGTCAAACGCAGAGACTGAAGGCTTACTGAAATGCTCAGAATCCAAGAGCCATCTGTCAGTAATTGTCGAAGACTTGTCTAACAAACCGTCCACATCTACAACTGCCGTGACTACGTCAACAGCACAAACGGGTAATAAGGACATGTGGCGTCCCTGGTGATAATTTTCAGTACTTGAGAGACGCTCGTGTTTTCGAATTCCAACACCCAAGTTGTCTTTCAGTCATAATAACACTGTAATATAAATACACGCCCACACAAATCTGTGATGCAGTTCGTAGAAATGTACATTCCAAAGACACATTAATCTTAATGAATTAAAAAGTATATAAACATGTACTCTTTATGGTTTCATTTTTAGGTTATGTAATAATGGTATTTCAATTGCAGAGGTCGTATCTTTTGTACTGTGTACAGACTTCAGCCCTTATTACCAAACACAAAAGGTGTAGCAACATACAAGCTGGTGATACGATGACGAACGGGAGATAAGGTAAGGGTCTGTAAGGAAGTCAGCCCTTCCTTGTTTCAGCATAAAGGAAATAGTAAAGTGTGAAAAACCCTTTCTCTGAGAGCTGGTCCCTGACTAGGATTTGAACCAGCCATCTTCTGAATGCAAGCATTAGTGCTGAAACACCATTATATTCAGGATATTGGAAAAGGCATCTATAAATCTACTTCACATGTGGATCAATTTTATTTTGTCAGTGCTGCCATCTATGTGCCACATAACAAATACACTTCTACTTCAACACCTAAGCATGACAGTCTTCTGGACTCTGTTGCCATCTGTTCGTAAACTCTGAACTACCAGTTCTGAGATTATTCCTTGTAGAAATATTCTACTGCAGAATAGTAAGTGGCAGATGCTGCAGCTTTCCTCTGCTAATCATCATTCCACCACTGCTCCATTCCCTTCTATAACCAACCCAGAAGGTGTGTGACAAAGTTTCATCTGAACTTCATGTAGAGGAAGACGATTAACTTCTGGGATGCTGCACCATGTAGTCTGGTAGAAATCTATTGATGCTTGAAGTGCATAAAACCTCCGCCAACAGCACGATGAAATAGCTCACCATTTAGTATACATCCCCAAATCAAATTTCACTAAAATGCACCTAGCAGTTTCAAAAATAAAACACAAGGACACGTGGACACTTCAAAGAAACGCTAGAGCCAAGTTCAACAACAGCACATGTAACAACTCACAAAATATTGGCAGTACGCTAACTACGGTCGCAAACTACGTATCTTAAACGGCAATGTGCCTGTACATACCTCGTCACGTGAACCACGGCCTGTCATCTGAACTGTCGTAAATCAATCCGAATCACGCGACTGTTGAACGCCGTGCCGAATGAGAAGCAGTTGCCTCCGCCACCGACGACGAGAATTGCTGTCTCATCGTCGACTACCTCACTTGTATGATTATGCAGCATTATGGGGCAGGCTGGGTTCTGGTCCTGCAAGCACAGAATGTACTGCACTTCTACGAGTCTCTTAACAACGCTGTAGTATCGTTATGAGCGAATTTTCTTTGACTGATGTCTGGATTAACAGAACAAATCCATTTTTTAGGTTAACTGTGTCTCCAGGTCGATGGAAAACGTACCTACTCTGGCGTGATTGCTAGACAAAACCAGTCTTCATCACTGCTTTATACGATGGGCTACAGAGAGTAGATGCCGTCTTTACCTGAAGACATGCAGAACCAGTCTTGGGAACGCAGTAAATTTTAGAAATTTTAGTTCTGTTTAATTTTAAATGTCCGCAGCCGCTGCACGATCTGAGGCGTGGGCCTTGTGCCGCTCGATCTCTGGGACTGCGGGTTAGAATCCCACTCAAGCCATGGATGTTTGTCCGCGTCTTTCTGCGTTGTGCTGTCCTGCGTACAGGTAGAGGCCTCGTGACGGGCCGATCCCTCGTCCAAGGAGTCCTACCGAACGTCTATAGATCGAGCCAACGAAAAGTTGGGACCCGCAGTGCTCAGTTAATTTTAAATACCAGACGACAGATAATGTCCGAACAAAACATAGTAAAGCTAACACACCACTGTGAGACAAAGGTTTCAAGTTGCATGAATACATCAAGTGGTTAACATGTTACTCTACGTGCAGACATATGCCTAGATGTTACATGATAAAAGCTACTTTCATTCTGAAATAAAAAACACAAGTTAAAAAGTATAATCCTGGCCTTGAATGTTTTTAATAAGTCTTTGAAAATAAATAAATAAATATATCTAAAAGATACCAAGTCTCTCAGAATATTAACTGTGAATTTCATGTACAGTGGCAGTTCGAACCGTCAACCATCAGGTACCCTAAAATGAAATTTTTTGACCAGCTGAGTGACTATCAGTGTCTCGGGAAGGACCCCGCTCCTTCGAGTTGGTAAAATTTCATGAAATCTCTTCAGAGAATTAGAAATTTTGCTTACACTGATGAACACTGACAAGTGGGATACTTGTTTGACAGATTCATGCTCTTTTTGTTATCTCACACTTACAGGTAGAGCGTATTCAATGCAAGATGGTGCACTCAGATCCACGACACAAACTCCAGGCTGATTCCCAGGTAAAGTGTTAACTCCTCCAATGAGAAACAAATGGTCCCCGCAGACTGCCGATGTATGGCAGTACCGAGGTAACATTCCAGCAATATCAAGTTCATGCCACGTCTCTTCTTCCAGACTGAAACACCAGATGTCTCTATGAGGCAACATATCTTCACCGAGTCCTCCTGTCACAACCATAGTTTTCTCGTCCCACACGGCTGCGCTGTGCGAAAACCTCGCAGATGGCCTGTCTCTCTGATGCGGCACTTCTCTGCAGCTAATGCTCGCGTCTGATGCTCGTATTGTCCATACAAGCAGGTCCCCTAATACCTGTACGAAATTAAGGTTACTTGACTCTGGATTTCATTACATTATTAAACAAGATGTACCAGTATGACAATAAGGTGTACTGTGCTCACAAGAGCCAGATGAATCCTGTTCACATTCCTGCATCTTATTTATCGATGAGATTATCCTCCCACCTAAGCCTACGTCTTCCAAGTGATCTATTGTCCTCAGGTTTCCTCACCAAAATTTTGCACACATTTATTTATCTCCCATGTGTGCTATATGTCTTGCCTAGCTCATCGTCCCTTCTTTCATCATCCTAATATTTGATGAAGAGCACCAATTGTGAAGCTCCTCATTACGTAATTTTCTCCTGCCTCCTATTCAAAAACATTCTCAATCAGAGTTTGTACCTTAATGTGTATGACCAAGTTTCCCAGCCATTCAAAATCACACGTAAAAGATTCAACCATTTAACAGAATATTATTGTTAAACATACCTTAAAATCCAATGTTCGCCCTCCGAACACGACAACATAATCTTGAATAGGGGCAGGTGTCGGATACTTAAGACACACTGAACTGTGTCTCCAGCGGGGCACAGGAGCATTATTCCAGCATGTAGCCGCAGTATCGCTACTTGCTACCGTCATCCTGGGTCCCGTTTCCCCTCGAAACACAGAGAGTATAATGGGCCACGCATTCACAGCTCTGCGGGGAGAGTGACGTCCGCCGTACACCATCACCCTGGTCAAGCCATCGGGACCGCGCAAAGACAGACGTGTGCAGGTGTGGTGTAACACGCCCAACTTAACATTCTCCAGCAGAACACCTTCAACATCAACGATTCTCCTACACGTCAATGGACCACCTGCATCTTGATTCCTATTGGAACAGAGATCAGTCATGGAAGATAGAAATAACCATGTAGGTTTTATATAATTGGGCTAAGTAAAAGTTCCCTCATGGCTATCAAGTTATTTAACCCTATGCATCATTAAATAAACCACAAATAAATAAAATCCACTACTCATATCAAGACTAGATATTTTAAATGAATTTAATTGTCACGTATAAATGAACGATAAAAGAAAACAATTTTATACCTGTTTTGAATATACAGAACCTCATGGCGCCGCCCATGCAGGGAATTTTCAGATGGACCAAATCCACCAACGATAAGAATTTCAAAACCATTCTTGTCTCCAAACATCGCAGTCCCATGTGCGAATCTACACACAGCACGCCCACTTTCTGGTTCTAGAAGTTCCCACTGAACTTGAGGTTTATTTATAGGGTCGGACACAACAGAATCGGTCAGACGTGGAGGTACATCCGCAAACTTCCGCAACCAATCAGTAAGACACCCCTTGGATGCTACCATAAGTGCAAAATGGCATCCCTCAAGATGCCATTCCTCCATTTCATCGAAAGGTTCCAAGTTTACAACTTTTAATCTTTCGTCGGGGCTTGCAACTTGCCGGAACATTTCGAACGCTGTCCATACGCTGCAAGAACTCCACCCCTGGAAAAAAAAACAAACAAACTGTAATTATAATTTATACATTTGTTGGCAGTAAAGCCATATTTCAACCAGGACTTCTTGTACTGTAGAAGTTTCACAAATCTTTATTAATTCCTCTGACGAAGAATCAAAACACAGAAAGTAATCGATTATCACATACAAACAGAGTAAAATGGAAACGTTCTCAACATAACCAAATTTTTAATCAAAGATCCCAGTGTTTGAGCACCACTTCCAGGTCAATTCTGAGATAGCGGCTTCAAAGTATTTTTATACAATCCAATTTTTGAAAATAATATCTTGGATGGAATTAGCACCATGTCATACCACACGTACCCGTGATACGTAACGATGTTCCTGCGAATCCAGATCAGGAAACTTTGTAAGTGAAAGCAGTGGGCTATTCATGCTCTCAAAGTGTTTCTGCATCACAATTCCAAAGCCATCATCAGGATGTATTTGTTCATATGTAACAAATGTGGCATCTTCAAAGCTGGAAGCTGCCCACTGTATAAGAGATGATGAACTAAAATACAAGTTTAAAAACATTCTTTAAATTTTGGAAACAATAAGAAAGTTTGAATGGTATATTTTTTTAGATGTCATAATTGTGGTAATAAAGAGGCAAACTTATGTGAGATTTCAGGTTCTCATGGTAATGCATATGAAGATGGCTGTCTTCTGGAATATTGCACCATAAAGTGTGGCTGAAGTTCACCAATGATTCATTGCCCTGATAATGAAGACGGCAAGCACTTCTGAAACGTCTGTAAATGTCTACCAGTATACACAATGTCACCCAGCCATGACCGTCCTCTGCTCTCGGCTTGTACGTCAGCTCACACACACCTCCGAGGACAAAGCTATATTTCGGCAGGGACCGGATCCAAGACGTAACCTTGACATGACCTTCTTAACATTCCAAAAGACAGTCGTCCTCTTATGTTCTCAGGTTTAAAGAAGCTTCAAGTATATTATTTATTCACAATTGTCAACAAGATAATTTTTTTTAATGCCATAGAGTCTTGTAGGTGGTTAATGTATGTTCTTCTGAAACAATGGTAACCACCTGTAAGTTTACTCAGTGTCGCAACCCAGAATACTACAACCCAAATTAATATAAATTAATATCTATATCACTTCAGGTCTCCTCAACGAGCATTACACTATATAATTAATATAAACCAGTCTTTTACTCAGAAAAGACTACTTTATTAATTTACTGAGCAGACATATCAAATGTTATTTAGAAGTGTTTTTCAGGTACAGATAAATGCTTTCAGGGAACATGACTTCCATGTACCACAGCAAATAACAATGACATCATTCACAATGGACAACAAAGGGCAACAGATTTGAGTTACTGACATGTGTTCATGACTGACGAAACAAGTGTCCTGTCAAAACAAATCGAGTTCAGTGGAGATGGTATCATAGATTATGACTCACTGAAGATAAACAGCACGATTCACGGTTAAGATAATATTTATGATAAGTTCTGGAGATTAAATAAAAAAACAAAAACAGAATATATCAATGACATCATCTGAGGGACTGCCACATACAAGAATAAAATGAAATAAATTCTTAAAGAAGGACACCAGAAAAGATATGCAAGTAGAAACAGCACCATACAGGGTGGTTTCATTACCCTGATAATGGAGGCAGTAAGCACACTGAAATGTCAGTCAGAATCTAATAAGACTATGAGGAGCAATATCCCAAAAGACATCCATCTTTAAATATCTCTCTGATCAAACCTCAACATGCGGAATAATAAAGTTCACACAAATCTGAAAAGAAAAAATCTTAAAATTATAAACAAATAAAAGATAATTGCCAAGTATTCGTGTTTACTGCACTCACTTTACCTGGCCTCATCCATATAACAGATGGCACATTCGGCTAGCAGAAGAGTTGGCAAGGAGAAGGCTGCCCCAGCTTGCATCAGGTTCGACTCCAACTCGTCAAGAGCTTGCAAGTCACTTGCGATAAGACGATACTGAGAACCAAACAGGCCTCTTACACCATTCTCGTTCACTGCATCAAAAACAAAACTCATCATTAACACACCAAGGGCTTGGAAGATACTGGACATGAATCTTGGTTCAAAGACATTTTTAAGATTTTCCTCAGTAGAACTCCATATCCTAACCTTCAAAAGGTCCGATACATTCTTGAAGTGACTCCGAACCCAGAATACATTCCACCTTCCTATCTACCACTTCTGTGAAGTCCACTTCATAAAAACAGACATCTTGGTGAATAGAACCAATGAAAGATAAACGGAAGAAACTTGTGTCAAATCCAGCACCACAGGAAATGATCTGTCAAAACAGAGGACACACAAGGTCATACAAATGTAGTTTGTGACTGCTTCTAAATCCATCAAGATTACTTATCAACTGTGTAAGCTACAGTGGTTATGTAGCAGTGAATAAGATGAAACAATGACTGTGCATGGTGAAGTAGAAAGGATAAGTGAGGAAGCAGCCACAATCCACTTTCACAAAATTTTGACTTATTATAGGCAAGAAAAAGGAGTAGGAATGTGGGAAAAAAACAAAACAAACTAACTCTCAATTCAGCCAGTTTCAAACCAAAACTATCTGCCGTAAGAGCTCAATATGTCACCGATACACCATCAGGTTCCATTGTCTGAAGCTATAAAACACATCCTTTGCTCATATAAAGATGAACATTATGGATGACGAAATATTTACTTGAGTTGGTTGTCCTGATGTTGCATCAAGAAAGGACCGCAGAGCGAAATCAACTGTTAAGACTCTCATGTAGTAACCAAGATGAATCAGTGGAGTCCGTCGACTGCATTTAATTACAAAGTGATGTATGTAATCATCTCTGAAATACCCATTCTTTACCATAGAGCATTTTGAGACTGTGTTAAAGTCATTTGTTCCCTGTACCTGAAATTAAACATTATGAATATTAGATTCAGTAAGTTACATATTGCACTGTATGGTCACTGGAGCTAATCTGATAAAAATATTAATATCCCCATAAAGCATGGGCAATAAGGACCAAGGATATGATGTATAAAAGTACTCCACAAAGTTGGATTATCTCTTTTCATTTATATGATATAGGTAAACATATACTAGAATTATATTAATCAGCGAACTGCTTAGAGCATGTCTAATTCTTTTTGGTCTAACATTTTGAGCTGATTTCCTTCGTATTGCTGCATCAGGGTAAGGACAGATATAATTATGGAACAGCCCTGATACATATTATTTACAAATTTTAGTTATGAGTATTGAAAACTATTCACATATGAAACATACCTAACACAACATAACCGTACTTCAAGCAGCATCACGTTAGGATATGACTGTGGGAATTTTGTAACAGTTCTTACCCGTGCTTTTGATTTTTTCATGTTTGATTATAACAGAACAGAAACTAAAGATAAATGTTCACGGTAAGGCCTAAACTTCCGCCGTGATTAATATTAGCCAATAGCAATGGCCAATCAAGCATCTATGACTGTTCATACTTTTTTACTTCCGGTTCCTTCCGGTGACGTAATAGGAACCGGAACATAAATTGAAGCAGGTTCACCAACTTAGGCAACATGTATAATGTGTTGGCATCTCCATGTCGTGCGGGAAACAGGAATTTTGGACAATAAGATTGCCCGCGCAATTTAAACAGGAGAAGATGTCACAACATTATTCTTTTATTGTTGTTTTTGGGCGCAACAACCCGAGAGATCATTTGCCCCGTTATCAAGAACACACATGTGTAATCAATCGAAACGAGCTCTAAATATCCTCACACAGAAAGTAAAGAACATTCAAAATTAATTAAATTCACGTCAATTTTAACCATCTGCTGTATTAAATTAACAACTGAAATAAATAAGCTACTAAAGATAAGGACCGCAAATGTTACGTTTCGCCTATTAAGCAGGAAACTCACAAGGTGACTAAAAGCTATTTAAGTGATCTATGAAGAAATACACGTCGATGTCTCGCAAAAGCAGAGTACAAGAAAGCAGCACAGAGAGAAGGCAATAAAAGATCTCATTCAAAGGTTAAATGCACACGAGGTGCGATCGGAAGGTTTCCAGACTGCGCGTATAAAAACCCGTACACTTATCTCAGGTATTAAATTCATCCATCACCCTCGAAGTAGTTCCCCTGGGAGTGAACACAACGACCGGCATCATCGAATTAGCATTTGTTTCTTAGTTACGGGCGTTTTGGTAGTGCATTACACCGACCCTCCTGCGATTTCGGAATGGCGTGTGCATCAAATTTTGCCAAAGACTCGCCAAAACGGCTACGGAAACCTATGAAATGCTCAAGCAAGCATTTGGGGAGTCCGCAAACTTTTGTGTGGCATTCACGTTTTAAAAATGGCCGAACCTCTGTCGATGATGACGAGCGTTCTGGACGACCATCTTCGAGCACAACGCCCGAAAATGTTACGAATATCGACGTCGTACCATCAACGACTTGTGCGACATTGTTGGGATAGGCTATGGGACCTGTCCGCTGATTCTAAAGGAAGAACTCCACATGCGACGCATCATGACAACGCACCAGCGCACACCGCCTTCAAAGTTCGGCAGTTTTTGGCCTCAAACACCATGGCCGTCATCCTGCACCCTCCTTATTCGCCGGATTTAGCTCCGTGTGACTTCTTCCTCTTCCCAAAGATGAAAATTCAGCTAAAGGGAATGAGATTTGAGACGATAGAAGAGATTCAGGCAGAATCGCAGATGGTGCTTGACAGGCTGGCAAAGAAAGATTTCCAGGGATGCTTCCAGGCTTGGCAGCGGCGCTGGGATCGTTGTGTTCACTCCCAGGGGAACTACTTCGAGGGTGATGGATGAATTTAATACCTGAGATAAGTGTACGGGTTTTTATACGCGCAGTCTTGAAACTTTCCGATCGCACCTCGTATTTTATCTCGTAACGTGGACACTGCTCACGATAAACGATCGGCTGACAACCCGCAACCAGATATTTCGATATCTGTATTTGTACCCAAAATTGACTGCCATAGTATTTTAAAAATGCCTCATTTATGTCAGGCAATTTTCCATATGTACCTTCAAATAGACCACGACATCTATCCTGGTTCATCATTCAGAAACATCCTACCACATATCATTCGATAATACATTACCTCAGTAATTGGATTTATATACGCGTATACTGTACCACGGTGGTCTAGCGGTTAGAACGCTGGCCTTGTAATCCTGGGGTCTCGGGTTCGATTCCCGGCGGTCCCCGAATTTATAACTTGTGTTAGGCAAGGCCGTGGTCTAGGCAACACGGAGTTTTCCTCCGTGGCATCCCAACAATTACTCCATTCACACACAGAAGAAGGCAATGGCAAACCACTTCTGGATCATCTGCCAAGAACGTATATGAACAGGTCCCAGTCCGAGAAAAGGATGGAAGGATCCTGTTCATATGGACCTGTCGTCAGACAGAACACTAATTCTTATCCTTATTATACTGTACGTAAGATCAGTTCTTCTGTCGTATCTTAGCCCAAGAGTTTCAGCTGGTGAGATAAAATTGTGTATCCACACGCCTTTCTTTCTAACATTCTTTGATACTTTAAAATTCCAAATACTAGAGTTAATAGAAATCCATAGAGTAGTTTGAGATAATACGGAAGGACAGATTCAAACCCGTATTTTTTCGTTAATTTTATGCATTGTACATAAAAAGCGAATATAAAAGGAGTAACGTGTATAAAACCACGTTTTATTGAAGTACTGGTTTGTATTGTAGAGTGTTTTAAAATGGGGAATGGTAATTTAACACTAAATTCTAGCGATGGAACTTGAAAAATACAAACTATATGGAAGACGTGGACAGAATTCAGGATGTGTAACCTAACCGCAAGGTTCTTTATAATGTGACAATAACAATTAAGTATATTTTCAAACAGAATTACAGATTATGTAGCAGATTCATATGAATTGATATCTTGATTTAGATTAGATTTCTAATATCAATTGATATCTTGATTTAGATTAGATTTTGTTTCCCGATTACTCTATATAAACGGAAGATTAATTTTGACAGGCGAATTTTAACCAAATCAGGCAAGCGGAAAATAGGTTTCGCTATGCAGTCTAGTTGGGCATCTCTTTTCTTAATTGGAAACTTTTTTGCCTTTGGATATGCAGGTGAGTGTAACAGTGGAATAAGGAGGGAATAGTAACTTTTGTTAAGTCATGAACACGTCACCCACTGCTCTGTGTTCTGTGTTCATTGTGTGAAGGGATCCAACATAAAAAGTTAGATATTAAACGATTCATAATTATGCTTGGAAAACCTGACGAAATCACACCCGCATGACTAAAGTAGCGGTGTGATAATGAAATCAGTCTTTGGGAAATAATTGATTCAGAGAACTTGAAGCAGTTACGCGTATAAAAGGAAATATAAACAATTATTTATTTTAATCCGTCTTATCACAATATTTAAAATATTTAAAATTTCTTATAATTAAGATAATAAAATATCATTGATGTTCCATATCGATTGATCGATTTACATTTCGGAACATTTACACAACAAATAAATAATTGTTATAATATTCACAGTATGACGCAATTACACTATCTTAGGAAATATAGAACTTAATTCGTGGCTGAAGTCGTGTCTGTCTTGTAGGCTATCTGAATTTCATATTATAATACAACAAAACGCAAACAATGAAACAATCGACTACTGACAATCGATTTGCTATCCTCATTCACTGCTGGAAGACAACTGTTTTACCAAAATTCTCTAGAACGCTGGCTCAATTAACAGAGATCACGTAAATATTTTTATCTGTAATTGTGGAACTGATTTATATGTACTGACGTCATCGCTAGAAACATCTCACAGCTGTTTCACTCAGAACGCAAATTAAATATGTTAAAGTACACTTCTATTATAACACTACGTTTTACATCGATCGATTCTTAGGTTTTAGACTGTGGAAGTTGTACAGCATGATGCGGGAAACAAAAATTTTAACAGCCAAAGTGTAAGGATTTGGAAGGAGGCGGTTGTTGCCTATTTTAATCATGTGACTAAACATCTAGATATACAGGTGCAGGGAGGAACATCAATGCGTTTTTGATGGTTTCAGCTTTACCCCTGCAGATTCTTACCTGGGGAAAGACCCCCCCCCCGTTTCACATTACGATATGGGCAACCTTGGTTCAGAACCCTGTCCAGTCCATCTGTAGCTGTCCATTACCTGATACGAAGCGTTTGTCTTATCCTACAGCATGCCCTAGGATTGTCAGCAAAGACGAATGGGGCGGAAGACCCCCGAAGGGGCCCACCGAGAAAATGAATGTGCCAGTGCCGTTCACGGTGGTGCACCACGGGGGTTCGAAGGATTACTGCACCACTGAGGAACGGTGCGCGGCGATTGTGCGCTCGTACCAGACATCACACATGGACTCGAACGGCTGGAACGACATCGGCTACAATTTCGTGGTCGGCGAAGACGGCAATGTGTTCGAGGGACGCGGCTGGGAGGCCGTAGGGGCCCACGCCCCCACGTACAACACGAAAAGCATCGGAATTTGCATCATAGGAGATTTCACAGGTACCAACACTCCCATTTACGAAATCGTATGTTTGTTGTTGTTGTTGTTGTTGTTGTTGTTGTTTTGTATTTACTCTCATACCTCTCATTGTCACTTTCGACCTGAGGCGTTTATCCTCCACCTCCACACACTTTCCAGTTGCTAAGTTCCACCACTTCCACCCTGTTCATTTTTTTAAAACCTGGTTCTCGTTCCTTTTCTTCCGTCCTCCTTTATCCCCCATCTTCAATTTTTTCTCTGTCCCCTCCTCCTTATTTCGCGTTCTCCCTTTGCAATGTCGCCGTCTCCCCGCTCGTCTATGTACGTAAGTACTTCGGAATTATTATTAATTAGTGTTCTGTCTGACGACAGGTCCATATGAACAGGATCCTTCCATCCTTTTCTCGGACTGGGACCTGTTCATATACGTTCTTGGCAGATGATCCAGAAGTGGTTTGCCATTGCCATCTTCTGTGTGTGAATGGAGTAATTGTTGGGATGCCACGGAGGAAAACTCCGTGTTGCCTAGACCACGGCCTTGCCCAACACAAGTTATAAATTCGGGCACCTCCGGGAATCGAACCCGAGACCCCAGGATTACAAGGCCAGCGTTCTAACCGCTAGACCACCGTACCCTACCTAATATCATTCTCTGTCATCAGAGGATGGTGCAATAGGTCTGTTCGAGACCGCAGTTTAAAACCACTCATTCTTGTCACTGTGTCTACAGATCGTCTACCGAACGAGGCAGCCCTTAAAGCAGTCCAGAGCCTCATTGAGTGTGGAGTCGAGCAGAACAAGATACAAAGGCAATACCAGCTGATTGGTCATCGTCAGAATACAGCCAGCTCCACGGTATGTCCCGGTACCAAGCTGTTTGAGGAGATAATGACCTGGCCACAGTGGACCCCAGACCCCAAGAACGTCAAAGGTTTCCAGACAAATTGGGATTAATCTCAGTCAGTTCATACTGAAGTTAGTCTGTTATGACGGTTACTGTACATTCTTGCGTGCAGATCTTACCATCTGTTTAGCAACTACATTAAAAGTAATACTGAAACAAATGATTTAGTTGTTAACAGGAATATGGAAAAAATGACCTAAATATTGGTTTTAAGCTTTATATTGTTAGAACATGGGTGTGTGTTTCTGTATAATTTTCCTTCCAGATTAAAAGATGAATTTAAACGCAATAGAAATATCTTTTAAACAATGAGACAATTCGTTGGTTAACACTAATAATACAGCTTTGTGTTTATAATGATTAACCAACGATGTAATATTCTTTATAATACGAATGACAGAAAACAATACGAAAAAGGAACCACGTAAAGATTTTGTGTTGTTAAAATATCCATCTTTTCAACTTCTGTTTGGTACACAGAGCAGCTTTTGTGTAACCTGTTATGTAACAATTTTTGGATTTTTTAAGATAATTTCTAGAAATTCTTGATTTTTTTTATCAAAAGGTGTTTGTGTATAATTTAAATTTAGACAGACATTAAAAGAAAAGAAAAGAAATGTATTTTTAATATTCCTAACATAACTCTTAAGACGATAACTGTATCTAGTCTGAGTTTCTTAACCAAGACGAATAAGGGAGGATAAAATTAAATGTATCTTAAAGATACAGAGTGGAAGGGTGACCAACCTCACCCTGAAGCGTGTGGAAACCCTCCCAGACCACTTTTCGCTCTCACAAAGTGCTGGCCTCGGTGGAATGAGAAAGCTCTCATACTGTTTAATGATTTCTCCGTGTTTTGTATCGGCTATTGATTTGCGTTCATAACGTATTCTGTACGTGGCAACGTGTCATAAGGCGAGTGACGTAAGATTGCAGGAAACGGATGAAGATTTATCGCTTGTCTGTGGAATTTGGGGCTTAATCAGTCAGTATTTATTTATTTGTTTAGTGTTCTGTCTGACGACATGTCCATATGAACAGGATCCTTCCATCCTTTTCTCGGACTGGGACCTGTTCATATAGGTTCTTGGCAGATGATCCAGAAGTGGTTTGCCATTGCTTTCTTCTGTGTGTGAATGGAGTAATTGTTGGGATGCCACGGAGGAAAACTCCGTGTTGCCTAGACCACGGCCTTGCCCAACACAAGTTATAAATTCGGGCACCGCCGGGAATAGAACCCGAGACCCCCAGGATTACAAGGCCAGCGTTCTAACCGCTAGACCACCGTGGCGGTAGTAATCAGTCAGTACCCGGGATTAACTGAAGTATCATCCCTGGATTAAGGAAACACGAATAAAAAGACCACACCTGACGTGTCCGCTGTTTGCCCGATGTTATGGTTAAGCACGCCGTGGATGTGGCCAGAAGTGGAGGGATAGCTCCACGCATTCTTAACCTCATGAGTTGCCTGCAATTTTACTGACCGAGGTCGTTGTGATAAACACAGACCACTGGGTCAGTCTGAGGATCCCGTGAAATGAATAATTTTTTTTAAGTCGCTCCAACCTATAAAAGGACTTTAAATATTATTTATCAATTTCGAGAAGTGCTAATTATTGATTACCGTTTATGATATCTGGGAAGTTATTTTTCTATTAAATTTAATCATTGAAATTCAACGTGGCCTTCCTTATTAATGCATATGTAGGCGCTTAGAAATAGACTCTCTGGATATGAGTCCAATTCTTATTACAAAATGACAACAAGAAATGATTTGTTATCGACTTGTTGTTTACGTGTGATTAAAATTCATTCAGCATTTTTGTTTTCGACTGCCTCCTCCGGTGAAAGATTGCACTTTGGGAAGCACTGACATAGTCTTATCCCCCATAAAGGGAGTCATTTGGCTTGGATAAATATAGTGTTACTATAATTTTATGCCAGAGATGAACAATTATTTTTAGTCCGGGATGCAAATGGGACCACTCTGAATTGTAAGCAGGGTACAGAACCTCTCGGAAAAAAACAGTGGTTAGCACTCCCGTTTCATAACAGTGAGGTCCCGGGTTCGAGAACTCGGGCAGGAGACTGATCACCGAGAATTTTTTTTTTAAAATGGCGTTCATTGCTTCTTAATTAATTTATTGCAGTAAAATTTTAATCAGACGACATATTTAATTATGTAGGCTTTTCTGTGGTTTATTTAATGACGCTGTCAGCATCTCCGACCACAAAGCGACGATGATGAATAATGAAATGGAAAGGACATGGAAGGAGGCTGTCGTGGCCCAATTAGGGAATTTGCCTGGAGGGACTGAGGAAACCCACGACTCGGGGTCGAGATTTGAACTCGCAACCTCCCGATTACGAAATATGAGTGCTACATACATGGTGTGTAAAGTACTTAGATACAGATCATGTGATCTTGGGTTGGGAAATTGGAATCATTAGATGGAGAATCCGTAGCTGTTAAGACAAATTCGTAAGTGTAAGGCTTCAAGGTTAAGGACAGAGTGCGAGATAGTTAACCAGCTAGGCCGCTGAAGAGGCACTTGACGTCATAGGATAATAGACGAAATAATGAGGGATCAGGGCCTAATCTTTTTACGATGGCCAACTATTTCCTGTTCCAACGAGCCTCACAATCATCTATGCCTTTCACTGGCTATCCTTGAAGAATCCGATCAATTGAAATCCGTTGCTAACAACACTACCGTTCCTACGTGACCACTGCCATCACAGATGGCAGCACGCAACTGATAAAACGAGTGTGTGTGGGGGGGGAGGGGGGAATTAATGAATAATTAGATCAAGGTTCTCACTGTTTCTTAATGAAGCAACGTAACAAATCGTAACATGTCCAATGTGAACGATAACAGAAAAAAAAACAATCAGAAAGTCATTACGGACGGAGTGGAGGAATTCGATGCGAGACAGGATGTTGGGATAGTACCACTGTCTCAAACAAGACGTCTCTCTCCTCCAGGTAATTTACAAGCACGATGCTATGAGATGTATAGGGAGATGGACGTATAGCTCCACAACGCATTACTCTCACCATTAGGTGGAAGTGAGTACCCAGCATCAAAGATACGATAGCTTTACCGCCAAAGAAATAGTCCCAGATGCCCATTGGAGAAGTAGACCCCCAGAGTCGGCCTGGGTAGAGTGATGACAGAAAGGGAAGTCCTTGACTTTGGAAGGGAACAAAACAATCAGAATCATACGTCGCACTGTTCATCAGCTGTTGTTGTGGTGACGAGATCAAGGGCGAGATGGATGGCAGATTCGTAAAGTCTTGGTCGGAAAACCTGAAGTGAAGAGATCAGTTCCAAAAGATAGTCTTAGGTAGGGGGAAATAAGATGGGATAAAGGGCAGTAGATTTACCTCGCCAGTTACAGGCGTTTGTGTGCGAGGACACGAGACCTCGAGTTCCATAAATATCGGAGAATTTCTTGATTTCCTGAGCAACGTGGTTGGTTAGTTTGAAAAACCTGAATATCGCATAAACACCTTGCTTGCTAAGCAGGCTTATGATTAAGTGAATTATCATAACGAAAACAGAGACCATCTGATGGAACAGTGAAATTAATGTAATGACCATTCGTATCTGGAGGTTCTAGTCATTCATAATTTATGAGTTCGCCTTTTCCTGACACCTATAATCCTCCAATGTCTTTTATTTCAAAATTTCTTTAGTTTCTTACAGCAGTTTAAGTCTGCAGGAACGAGGATTTGCCGGGTGGGTGAGTACCTACTCGACTCAGAGGTGCGCAGAAACGTCTTCCGTTTGGACAGCAAGTACTGCAGGTGAGGGGAAGCGTCGATGGTGTCAGTACGCCGGAATCAAGCGTCTCTCACTGACGTGCTGAGTATTCTGTGGCGGTTTTAAAACTGTGGGACGTGGGCTGGTTTCAGGTGAGGTATAAATGTCGGGCTTATGAAAACGAAAATATCGAACTAAGAATAGGTTCGAGGTTACAGGAAGTGGCAATATCATTTTCGATATTAATCGGTGCTGATCATCGTGTGTCGTGACCTATGCCATTTTTCTTTCAGATTATGTATTAATCATTAAAATTGATCAGTTGACAGATCGTCCAACTGACAAAATAATTAATTTTCTAATTTATTAACTAAATAATTAAACACCTTCTCAATTTGACGGTATACGACGTTCCTTAAACAGTCACCTAACCGCTCATTTATTTACATACTTAGGCCTGTTTGTTTCCCAAAGCTTTGTCACTTGGTCCTGACGTCACAGGATGAACCTTGTCCTCTTTCAGTTTAACCAGCTCATTTATTTAAATACATTTTGTATTATCCTCTTATTTAAAACTGCTTATCTCAATTGGTATCTTACCTCAAGGCTGTCCAATTAAAATTTTGTATTATTTTTTCAAGCCTCTCCTAATACGTGCTACATGTCTCACCCATCATATCGTCCCTCACTTTAACACCGTAATAATATTTAATGAAAAACGTAAATCATGAAGCTCATTGTTTCTGTCTTTCAGAACTGTGTGACACATTAATACGAACCTGTCGCTTGTAAATGATGTGTAATGAGATAAAGAAATAGCATCTTCAGATATGGAAGTTGAAGACCCATCAAACGGGACGTGGCAATTCTGCGCCTACGAATAAGTGCGCCAGTGATTCGTAAAACAATTTCAAGTGACACTGGAGGAATAACGATGTGGTGAAACTGGAAACGGAATGAGAGACAGGTTAGGTTAGTCCTTACTGAAACGAACATTGACAGAGAGTCCATGTCGGTACAAGTGGAGGCTGCTCCTTCGCGACTAGACAAAACGGCCCTCAGACGACAGCGGAACAAGATGTCCATCAAGAGGAAAAGGACAACCCCGCCCAGCAGCCAACAGCTGAAGAACTTGCAGTCCAATGGGCTCTACGTACACTCCAGCCCACCCAGAGGTCAGTGCAGGTCACTCTCACTGTAAAGTTATGCCGAGAACGTTTATGGGACACGTGGAGGTGTGGCTCCACTTTTTTTAAATATCGACCTGAGGTGAGTTATCAGCTTTACAAACAGGAACTCGTCAGACAGGGGTCTGGTCGTGGGGGTAAAGGTACATACTCCTGTCGGTAAGTTGTTCAGTGGCACGTCCCTTGGTGCTTCGTGCCAGAGACAGGGCTAAAAGCCGTGTGGTTTGCATTGCACCCAGGGGAAACATCAATCCAGCTAGCGCAGATAACAGGAGTGGTCGTCGCGTGATTATATCACCGCTCATCGCCTGTCTCGTGACGGCGTTAGTCACCAGAAATCTCTCCTTCCGTGACAACGTGATTTGATGGCAAAAAGCATAGTTCACAACTACTAGACACTAATAATTTATGTAACTTATTCTTCTTCCTAAACCCTTATCGATTGCACCTTCCGGCCTGTTCCAATTAAGAAGCTACGAATCATTTGGTACGACCCCTTCGGTGGGAGATCAGCCCGTCCAAAGACCTGTATATATACACAAGGAAAACAGGACAGCGGACATACATCCAAGCCTTGAATGGGGTTAGAAAACAAGATACCAGTGATATTGCTGATTAAAACCGTACGGAAACTATAACCGACTTTTCAGACATCCACTTTAATATTATCCTCTTAAGTTTCCCGTCAAATTTTCCGCGCAAAATATTTTACGTATTTCTCGTTTCTCCGACGACAGGAGTTGAGGTGGCATTTTTGAAAGTACTGTTTCACAGAAAAGTGGCGATCCAGTCAAAAATTCGCAGTGCTTTTCGACACGGTAGGTGGTGGTAGCCGGGCCCATCCACACGGAGTTTCGTGTACGTTTCCTGTGACCTGAAGTGGGAGTACGTGATAAGTCACTTCCCTCAGATACCGGAAAGTCACACGTACCGAGGTCAATCAATATTCCATTGCTTTGTCGTGAAAAGTTGGGAGGTCCTGACCCCTGATACCACTGTGCCAATGACACTTACCAGATCTTAGACGGCTGTTTGATTAGTTCACTGACTCCATACACACTTTGATTTATATTTTTTTCTCGTATTTCCTACATTAGATTACTTCGGTACATATGTAATGTACATTACGCGATGTGACGATGCTAAGTACAGACCTCATAGATTCCTGTTGTATTTTATTTTTCCTTATGCGAAGTACCACAAGCACTCAATGAGTAGAAAACCGGAATTTTGGAAGGGAGGAGAAACTGCGAATTGTCGATACCTGCATGAATTTTCACATCAGCAAGACTCTGTATATTACCCTGAAACTATTCACGCTTAACTTTTGTCAGTCCAGTTAAATGAGTACTTGGAATTTCCTGTATCATGGCTGACCATTAAGGTAGGAGTTAAATCGATTCTGACGATAATATTTTACAAACTGGATTTCTGAGTTTTTGAACTTCGTCCATTGTCTGGTACTTTAAAAAATCTATTGGGTTCCGTCATAAAAAGCTAACCTCATTCACCTGAAGACGAAGACGGACCCAGTCTTCGAAACGTCGTGCTTTTTTAGAGTACCAGACAATGGACAAAATCCAAAAACTTAGAAATACAGAAGGTAGAAATTGTGTTACAGTACAACTTTGTGTCCTGAGGCTCCAAGTGAAATACAGGTATTGCGTGCCATGAAAATTACTTTAAATTAAAATCAGAAATCAAATATTAAAACTACAAAAAAATATTTAGTGTTTCGTCTTTAAATTCTTGTAGCAGAATTAATGTTTACTGCCGAAAATCAAACGTTTGGTTTTCCCCACGATTCAAAATTGTAGATAATTTCGCATCTCTACCACTAATTCCCGTTAAATAATATTTAGTTATTTCTCAAATGCTAATTTTAATAACGTCAGAAATTGTATTTACAATTCATACGGAAGCCTGACTTATGTATAAGAATAGTTTCTTTAACAATCTTACTTGTAGATCCCACTGAGCTTTGTATAACGTGCAGACTGTGTCCTGTCTTTCAGTGCTCCAGGTGAACCCTAGCATAATCCGTCAATGGCTACGAAGTGGGGACCTGGAGAAGTTGGAGTCCGTGGTACTGGAGGGACAAGGTCACAAGTTAGTAGGGGAGTATTCCCCGGACCCCAAAGTAAGGGCGTACATCAAGACAGTGCCCACCCTCATGGTTAGTATCAAAAGGATTGGAGAAAAGGCTCCACGCGTTCTCAGACCTCTTTTATAACTGCGTATTTGCTACTCGGGAAAATGTTAATAGTGCAAATGGATGTTGAATATCGGCAAGGAACGTTCTATCAGGACGATAAACAAACCTTAATTTTATTGGCAGAGTCCCGAACCCAACATGGAATAAAAGTGGGCGATGTTTGTTAGCGATAAGCATTTGTTGGAAATGGATTTATCCTGGGACTTAGAGAAATATTAATCTAAGCTTGTGAACTGTAAAAATCGTATTTAAGTGAGTTCATACACTCTTCCATTGTTCCTCCACCTTTGGTACAAATCAACTTCTGATGACTCTCATATGAACGGAATAACTGACTAACGCCGTGATAGCGCGGCAACTTCTCCGACACTACTGCGTTGCGGGTGAGAATGAATAAGTTCTGCAGGCGTTACTAACAGACGGTGAAGTACGGTTTGTCATAAAATCACACACATCTGTAAATGAAATTAAACTGTTTGAGGAATGAAGAGGATGCTAATTATAAACAAAATGTGTAAGAAAACGTAAGGGAAAAGAAAGGCTACGAATCATCGTCTTACAAAATGGTAGAATCAAAACGAATTCGGTCTCACGCCAGTCTGTAATCAGTCAACAGAGTCGGCCTAGTTAATTACATTGCTAAACCTCGTATGTAAATGCTCATACTTAACCGTTTAAAAAGCAGTGGTAACTATAAATACCACCATAACTCTATATTTTGCAATAAATATTATATTTACGCATTTCTCACGATTCTCAAAATAAGCAATCACTTCCTTAAGCAGCGTAGAAATATTAATATTTGTAATGGTGAAGTGTTGTGTTTTCTTCGCGGTACGAACTGAACTCTTAAATACTTAGAGGAGCTTCGGCTTCAAAGTGTTAACCCCACGTTGCAGGCAAAGATCGAGATGCTACACGAGGCTGCGACGAAGGACCAGCTGGGGGACATGGAGACGATGCTCCAGGAGGAGAAGAGCAAGAGAATGGCCCTGTGCAAGGATTCGGCGGGGGTTCCACTCCTGCACAAGGCGGTGTACTACGATCACCAGGACATGGTCAGGTGGCTGGTGGAGAACTACCCCCTCACAGTGAGCACGAAGGACAAGGTGAGTGCGATTCTTAAGGAGATCTCCAGACGTTTTTAGTTTTTAATATTATATCAGACTTTCCTGTATTATTTATTTGTCTTTATCTTTAGACGCATTCGGGTTTAAAAATGTTAACGAGGTGTTAGGCACTACTTCTTTGTCACTAGCCTTTAAAGTTAGATGTTTTTCGTGAAATTAGCTCTCGGCCCATAATCGGAAAGACTGTGGTGGCCCGCGATCCACGGTTACCCGCTACTGACCCACACTTGAGGATTGTTGCGGCAGATATGTTCTGATTTAAAACGACAAAACGGAAAGAAAAGTAAAAGGACATTTTTCATGGCTGAACATTTTCTCAATAACGATGTTAAGTGTTAAAATTTTCTATATTACATGTGCTGCTACCATTAGGCAGCTGTTTGAAGTACTTATAAAACAGATGTAGATGCGAAAGTATGTGGGAAAGGAGTAAGGGATGAAGAAATCATTCACCATCGAATTTCAAGGGCATTTACACTAGTAAAAGTGAATGAGAAAAATTTAATTAGTTGTCGCACGTTTTCTCGTGTTTAGAGAGGCCTTGAGAAGGGTGAGTGAGTAGGTTAGATAGAAGAGCGTAAAACAAGTTCAGCGGGAAGTCTTTGTCCCGTGTTAAGAAAACACTTCCCAGCTGCAATTGATTGGGCAGGATCATCAATCACTCCAACGTGTGACACTAAGTAGCTCACACAGTGTCCTTGCTACAACACAATACAATGTAATGTATTATAGTTTGCTGTTGGGCAGAGGGCGAAGGAAGGAGACGGTCGCCGTGATTGTATTCATTATTGGTGTTTTCCTAACGCGACAGCTCGATTATTCTTTACATCTATTTCAGGTTCGAACAAGGAGGGAGGAAGGTACAGAAATCTGAGGAGAAAATAAGTAATAATTAACTTAATAATCAACCCTTTGAAGCCGAAGCTCGTCTAAATAACATTTAAGAATTCAGTCCGTACCGCGAAGAAAACACGTCACTTCACCATTACAAAGATCAATTCGTTAACGCTGTTTAAGGAAGTAATCGCGGTTTATTCTGAGAATCGTACGAAATACTAAATACAACATGTTGAGCTCTGTAATGGTAATGCGTTGTGTTTTCTTCGCGGTACGGGCTGTATTCTTAAATGTTATTTAGACAAGCTTCGGGCTTCAGTGCGGCAGTTAATGGTGTTTGTTCGCAGGACGGAAGGACAGCTCTGTTCTACTGTTGCGTGCTAAAAGATCCCAAAGCGACGTGGGAGCTTCTGGAGACAGCGGGAGCCGATCCCAGCGCCACAGACTCCCAGGCGCGCATTGCAGCCTATTACATAGAACACCCGAACGAGATAGACATGCCCGACACTCGGGACCTCAGCGGCTCTTTCCGGCGCTTTACTTCCGGCAAGAACGGTGCGTACCTGACTGAAGCCAAGAGGCTGACGAAGGGTTTGAACTGGGTTCGTTTTTAACTTGAATTAAAATGGAATAGTTTGGTTAAAATAAAACACAGAAATAATCATAGCTGTTATACAACTATCGCACTGATGATGGAGGCAGCAACGACCTCTGAAACGTCGGTAAAGTTCTACCAGATTACACGGAGCAACAACCCAGAAAGCAGCTATCTCCATCTCTCAACCGATGTGCCGCAGAAAACACGAATTAAAATGTCTGTCTACACTTCGCAACCATCAAAAGTTCATAAACAAACTTCTCGTGCCCGATAATGCTCCTGCAGATGTATAGTCCTAACAGTACAAAAATGAAATCAGTTTCGTTACAGAATTCAAAGCATTCATGAAACAGACTGATGTTTTTGATACTGTACGCACAACACGGAAATAAGCTACTAGAATTTTTCACTTTCTTTCTACTTAAATGTGACGTCACAGAATACGGCACCAGAGAAATTTTGAATGAACAATTCTTTTGTTTTAAATTTTGTAGAACATTATGACAAACTCCCAGCGCAATAATTTGGAATTCTTCAAAGTAGACCACGTTGTGGTTAGGTCATGAATTTTACAGCAGTTCCCTTGGTGCATGCATTAGCAATTCATGGGAAAACGAGTTATGGTGGTTCCACATCGGTGTTTGTCAAGGACACAACAATCAATACTTCTATTTGAAACAGTTACAGATAATCTATATTCCACAAAGAACAGGACGTTTATTTAGGTAATTGTTGATAGACGATATGGATCATAGTGTCGTTATTCTAAATACCATTAATGGCATTTAGGACAGACGAACGGCCATTTTGTTTCTGCGATCAACAATACAACACAACCAGTTGGAGACTAAAAATACAAACCACTTCTCCCAATTGCATTCTTATTGTTTAACTAACGAAATATGAAAGGGTAATCAAATGATACCAACTTAAAAGAATATTATCGGAACAGCTACTGAAACAATCTCAACCATCGGAGTAACAATTTATATCTGTGAAAATCAAAGGCGACTGAGTACAAGATCGACTATCGCGGATCGATTCCGAACAAATGAAAGATTATTGTCTGAGATGCTATGTCTCGGCTCCCATCAAAAGATTACGTCTAGAACAAGGCGACCGGAACGTGAAGCTAAGTACTCTCAGGTACTGCCGAAGGAATGAATGAATGAGTGGAGCTCTATCATTAACCAAGCCTTCCTGACACTGTGCTTACTAAAAGGGGAAATTCTATTATTTATCTTATTTCGCCATGTCATGTAAATCAGTGGTATTCAACCTGGTGTACGCGTACCCCCGGGGGTACGCGAAGACATCTTAGGGGGTACGTGAAATTTAAAAAGAATAATATTATTTTATGATAAACACTGAATAATCAGTAATGTAATTTATTTTAGATGTAGATTATATACTATGTATAACTTGAATTATACACCAACAACTTTGGGGGTACAAAGTTGAAGAGAAATTATATCTGGGGGTACGCGAACAAAAAAGGTTGAATACCACTGATGTAAATTGTGTGTTGGCAGGCCTGGTGGTGACGAGGGCGAACATCAGGATCTGGATACATGATCGTGACCTGGGACGCCTACAGCAGATGTTGTGGGAGGGTCACGGCGGTAAACTGAGGGTGGAGACGAGCAACAGCCCGCGGGTGAAGCGGTTTCTGGACGCTGTGCCCTACATCATGGCAAGTGACATGATCATGGCATTAAACTCCCAACACCTTTTCAGAAGAACGCACGCATGTACGAGGGAAAACAACACTTGGAAGACCTAGGAGTAGATGGGAGGATAATATTAAGATGGAATTTAGGGAAATAAATCGTGGATTGAATCCGGCTCAGCGCAGGGTCTAATGGGCTTATGCAAACACGGAGCTGAACTTTCGAATTGCATAAAGGGAGGGTATTATCTTGACCGGCTGGGTAACTGTCAGTTTTTAAGGAACACCCAAGTGTGTTCTTGCATAACTTACATGTGTAGACCATTACTTATTAAAGACGTGATTGTTTGAGTCACCTGGTATAAGACCTGTTATTTATTCTAAGTTGCGACAGATAAAAATTTCTCGTGGTTGTAATTTATTGACGAGAATTATCTGTTTTCTGGGTCAATCAGACGATGAGCCATTTATATACTCAATATGATAGAATATTCTTATGTGGAAAAACATCTGCGTTGTCGCCAAAGAGCACACGGCCGCCTCCAGCCGATACTGACCCACAAGACACAGCAACGTCAATTATTAACAAATTACGTGATAGAACTCTGGGAGTTGATAGCAATGACTCCAGCTGGAATTCCAGTCAATACGAGCTTCCGCCTACGTCAAGATAAGTTCTGTCCAATCGCGTTATGTAACTGAGATTTCTCGCGAATTGTCTCAGTCTTACCAGTCCAATTTATCCGTGGCTTTTATTAACACAGTTGTAGCTCTAAATGGAGGTGAGTGATTAGCTTCATGCTCCGGTTGTTTTATCCCCGAAGAAAAAGACACCGGTGCCCATTGGATAGGAGGCTGGATGAGGCCCACAGAGAAATATCTTTGTCTAACATTCTTAGATTCAATCTGGAATTTCAGGGAACAATCAAGGATGTGCACGCAGCTGTTGTCAATGACGACAAAGAAACTTTCCAGAAGAGAACTGCAGATCCCGTACCAAACCAGATATTCATCAGTAAGGATCAGAATGGTCTGAATCCTCTTCACAAGGTAAGAGCACCAGAAGATGATCACTCAGGTCTGCTCAGAAACCTTTAAAAAGTTCTGTTACCCCATACGAACACAAGTAACCAACAACAAGAATTTTTTTGTTTAGGGAATCAATTGTCCTGTGAATGAACACAAACTTCCGCCATGAGAAGCTGAAAATAACTTCCAAGTCAGTTACTGGTTGCACAACCCATAGATTCAACTTCTCTAATATTCATGGTTTTTTTTTTTTCCATTTTCATCTTGATCTTTCAAGTGTACCTTTTCTACACCAGACTACACGGTACAACATACCAGAAGACAGCGATCTTCATACTAGTTGCCATGTCATTTGATCATTTATTAATAGTACCCTATACAGTAAACTGACCGATGGGTCTAAAACAGTTTGGAAATTATTAGGGTGATAAAATCAACGGTGATGAAACTGGCAAAGTCTGTAGCACACGTGGGAAACGCGAGATACGCACACAAAATTTTAGTTGGAAAATCTTAAACGGAAAAGAGCAGATACAAGCATGTATCAGAGGATAATATTAAAATGTATGTTAAAGAAATTGGGTGTGTGGACTGATTCAGGAGAAGATCCCATGTCGGGTTCTTATGGGCGCGGTGAAATAGCTCTTAAGTCTGTAAAAGTTGGGACATTCCTTGACGACCTAACTATCAGGCTCTTAAGATAAAATCTGTTCCTTGGAGTTTGAGACAGTGACTGGTCCAGCTAACAGAACCGCATATTCGCCCCCAAACAGGCAGCGGGGCTGGGTCGTGAAGAGATGGTGGAGGGCATCCTACAGCGCAGTCCCAGCGCTGCACTTGCTACAGACAACGAAGGAAGACTGCCTCTCCATTATGCAGCTGCAGTCAAAGATGGAGGACACATCTACAATTTGTTGGTTGAAGCTGGAGCAAATGAGAATGCTCTAGATAATGTGAGTACCTCATCTATCACCGCATCGCAAGGAACGCGACAACCATGACCAAGCAGTACATTGTCGTATCCTCGGTTAGGGGCCTCATCTCTGACTGACACTTGGCTGGTCTGAAAGCGAAGGTAGTGTAGTTTTAGAGTGACTGAGGAAAATTATGATAGCCAACACTTCAGCGGAGATTCAAACCAGAGGGAATGCGCCTGTCTGGCTAGAAATGTGCTGCGCTATGCTGTTTTTTTTTTGCTTATGATCATTTAATGTGGTCTTTTTTGTCCCCTAGAGGGGGAAGCCCCCGAGTTACTATCGGACCAAGCCCGGCGAACTGGACCTCAAAAATCTGCAGGTGATCCCAGATGCTCCAAGAACAGCCACAATCTTCCCACCTGCCTGGGATTGGAGGCTACTCAACAACATGACCTATGACTTTGGCCCAGTACCAGTCGACAGTGACATGAAATACAATGAAGACAAACCTCCTGAAAGGGTGAAGGTTGTAGTATGAATACTTAATTCTATTCTAGACAGTTTTAATATTATATTCTTTGGGGCTAAGTGGATGGTGGTGTGGGGGGCTGAATTCTGGTTCTCAAAAAACCATTCATCACAAAATAAGAAAATTATACCTCCACTGGAGGAATATTTAATCTTAATACGAAGTACAGACAATTAATTATGTGTGCATGAAAATTTGTCTTTCGTGTCAATTGCAGACATATTGAAGCTTTTGATAACGGTGCACTTGAGGGGAACATTTGTATCCAAGAGACCGGAAGTAACAGGAGGCCGAAGAAAAAAAGTTCACAATGAAGAGAAATGCGTACAAAATTTTGGTCTGAAAACCTAAAGGGATTAAACCAACTGGAAGGCCTAGCATATCTGTAGGATAATATTAAAATTGATCTTAAATAAACAGGTACAAAGAGAGGAATTTGACTGAATTGACTTAGGGCAGGAGTAAGTGGCAGGCTTTGTCATGGGAATGAACATTTGGATTTCATAGCAACAAGGAATTTCTGCGTAAGAATACTGCTGAAGATTACATAAAGCTAATTGGATACAATTTTTCTGTTTCATTCAGAAACAAAAGAGCGTATCAAACATGGCTGGAGCAGCGGTCGCAGCAGCAACTGAAATACGTGCTGTAAGTTACGATGGAGGCGGAGTCTTTGTAATTAGCATGTTCTTGGTCTGTGTCGGAAATCTTTGCTCTGTGTATCAGAACAGTCATGTAATAAAGTTTATACAATGAATCTGTGCTGTGTGTTCTGGTCTAGTTCAGACTTTTTGTGCTACATGGACTGATGTGGAACCCAAAATCTGGGCTGTTTAGTTTTGTGTTTCAAGAGGACTCAGCACAGACTGATGTGTTACATAGCAAGACCCACTATTTTTATTGTTGTTCAGAGATGATGACATCTGAGATTTCCTGTAAATAAACTCAAGGATGTGTTTATACATCACCAGGTCTCAAGAATAGACTGACATAAGCAGGGATATAAGGTTAAGGGGGCATACAGAGGCAACCTTTAACTCTCAACTACTATGTGTAATGCAGAACTGGTCGTACGAAAGGGGGAGTATCCCATAATAACCAATCATATGTTGACATGCGCTAGTGTTATTCTACACACAACTAAATATATGAATAGCGCATGTCTGCATTATTTTCTCACAAACTTTTATGATGCTCGATTACAGGAAATACCAGAAGTGGCTACAGATGTTTCACAACTCAGCAACGGGATAGTAACGCCAACTGAAGGGCATAAGGGGGCAGAGCCACTGGGCGATGAGGATGAGGGTGTAGGAGAGGAGAGCGACCATGATGAGGATTACAGGGGACAAATGGAAGAGGTATACATGCATTGTTCTAAATTGAGGAATGAGCAACATAAAATACAGGTCTTACATCTACAGATCCACAAATTATCTAATTTAAATACATGCAAGACGCTGCATAACACTGGTTGGACAGTGTTCAACATAATATTGGAGTGGCAGAACTGTTAGCTCACAAGAGCTGAAAATGGTGTCCAAACTCAAACAAAAAATTTGTTAGTCACATTTATGAAAGAAAAATAATTACTTGGGCCACACACAGTTTTAAATAACATTTTGATGTGAATGTTCCAAAATACAGGAGCTTCATTCACTTGGTATGTAAAGCAGATCCTCCCTACTCAAGAACAAAATTTGGAACAACATTTATTAAGATCTTAAAACTGCTTAATTCTGAGTTTAAAATAATATTAAAAAAAGTGATGGGTGGCCACCCCTGCTAATAATTACTGTTACTATTCCATGGCCAACGTGGTTTTTTTCAATATGTGTCATTTAGTTAATTTCTTGGAAACTTAAGATGTTTAATTTTTATTTAACAGACTGAAGTATCAGGTCTGCATAAATTAGTAGAATTTCATGAAAACTGATAGGATTGACTTAATGTAAGTTCACCAGTTTATGAAAAAGTTTATTGATTGTTATTTAAATGAATTCCTGACAATACAAAAGCATTTTGTGAAGTTTAGGAGGAGAAAGAAGCTGCAAAAACAGACCATGAAGATCAACAGACTGACAATGAAGGTGAAGGAGAAGATTACGGAGATGGAACAGGGGAAGCAATCGACAGATGGGAGCGACAAGATGATGAAATGGAGGCTGCTGGAGAAGAAGATGCAGGGATGGGTGAGGAAGAGGAGGAGGAGGAAGCAAGACCAGAAAGTGAGGAAGTAACAGAAGTAACACATAAAGATGTTGACGTAGAACCAGCAGAGGAAGATGAGGAAGTGAAGCAACTTGTGGAGGAGGGCAACATGGAGCAGCTGGCAAACCTAGTGCTGAATGGAGAAGGACATCGCCTTATAGGACAAACGTCTGATGATCCTGAGCTGCAGGGGTTCCTTAACAACGTACCAGCATACATGGTTAAGCCTGATTAATCTTCTTAAGTTTACCTCTTTGTCACGACTACAAACCCAGAAATCCATAAATCATATTAACCCAAGTTTCACTTCCATTAAGAAACGTGTGAATACAAAGTAGGTCACAACACAAAATCATAAATAATTTAAGAACGTATTTTTCACAGGCAAAGATTCGCGCAGTGCATGAAGCAGCTCAAGAAGGTAACCTGAGAGATTTACAGGCGGCCCTTGACAGACGCAAATTTGCGATCGCTCGTGATGGTTCAAATTCAATGGGCACCACACCTCTGCATGTTGCCACTTTGTTTGGACACACGGCTATAATCCGATACCTAGGCAGTCGATTTCCAGAGACTCTACATGCTCGAGATGGCAATGATCGTACGCCTTTGCACTATGCAGCCACCATGGCGGATAATGGACACTTCTACAACTTACTGCTTAATCTTGGAGCTGATCCAGCTCTCAAAGACAATGTAAGTTGTAACAATAAATTCTTCTTGTCTTCATAGGTTAGGTAATTTAATGCCTCAAAATCCTATTTACCATTTTCCACTTATTCCTCACTCTGTAGTTTTATAAATCTATCTGCATTACATGTACAATCTCTTCAAATTCATTATGAACATAAGTTTCTGAAACATTCACTATGTCAGTAATTAATTTTTGTCTAATCACAGATGTCCAACTAAGGATGACAGTTCTCAAACAAATTATGTATTTTAGAAATAATACTTTTAAACTTAAAAACATTATAAATAAAAACACTAATGTAGAACATACTTTAAGTACTAGACAATTTTACTTGTCTTTAAGAGACAGGAACATACATTTCATATCTGCTTCTTAATGCAAAACTCAGATTGAAAGATGTAAATTGTATTAATGATGAATTGGAATGGATGTGGGAGAGTTCATGGCCTATTTTAAGGCATTATCTCAGTATCTGCCTTAACCACTGGACCATGGCTTCCCTCCTTATTGGTATAGAACTGAAACTTTTGGAAGTAACATATGGAAGTCCAAATATATTTTAGGAATATTTCAATAATTTTCTGGGCTAACCTCTCCCAGGAGTAGAATTCTATAACTTTACGCATGTTAATAAGTATTTATTTTCAAATTAAATTTCAATTCTCCTTGCAGCAAGATAATACAGCGGAGTACTACTTGAAAAACACTGGTATTCTTACTCATCAAGACCTTCTGGAGCAGTATGGGGCATCAGGAGAGGATGCTAATAATATGCTTGAAGACAAAGGTAAGCTACTTCTAGACTATCCACTCTCCTGTTGGCTGTTACCTGGCTTGTACATTACAAATGGTCTGCTACCAAACCAACGTAACTGTGTGACTGAACTGACGACGCTACAAAATCCATATATATTAGAGATTAAGTTTATTTTGATTTAAAACATACAAATATATTTAAATATGGAATCAGACATACATTGACTTCAATATTAAATAAAATTTCATTTCAATTTTTCATGATGTGCTACAACCTATTTTGCACAGGTTAGGTAAGATTTGAAACCACATGATAGTTTTATCAAAATTTCATGCTTCTGTAGTTTTCAATTAATGTAATTTTGTCAACAGTAATAAAAGCCTAAAAATGGTATAAGTATCACTGCGATGTGTGTTCCTCAAATGAATCCACCTGTTCAAAATAGCGTTATGAAAATTATGCTTTATTACACTATATTGTTGTGGTTAAAAAATTTGGAGAGATAAAATCCTAAATGCTTGCCATTATTTACGATATCTGAATGCAGTTCCAAATGACACCGTCTCTGCAAGACGTGACATTGATGATCCAGAAATACTTGAAGCACTGGAACGCTGCTATGAACTTGTACGTGAAGAAACCTCAACCAATGGGCAGTTGATGTCTGGAACGTTATTACAGCGTTATCTGAAACGACCTGTGTTTGAGAAGCTAAAGATGCGTCTGACACGAATGGACCACAACCTATTGGATGTCATCTGGCCAGGAGCGAAAGAGGTCCCTGAAGATAATGATGATGACTTAGATGAGGAACTAGAAGAAGTAATTCAAAGAAATGGAGGAGTTCTTATTCCAGATTATGAGTCTTACACTGTGTTTGCTGAACTTCTCATGCCACTAATTAAAGATCTACATGGTCTTCTTGTAAGTTATGATCTTAACCCACAACCAAAGTCAATGTTCTTCTTGGCAGAAGAAGGTGAGGACGAAGATGAAGATGAAATCAGAAAGAAAAAGGGAAGTATCGGTGAAATCATCACTGACCCTTCCGGTAAACAAGTCAAATCTGGAAGAATCGAGTGCTGCAGAAATGTGGCTGAATACCAGATACCTTCAGGCTTGAGTTTTGCACAACTTGAGGCTTTAGAGAGAGATTTGGTGAGTGCTCTTAAGGACTGTGATCAAGGACAGACTGGCGATAATGATGATGATGACGAAGAGAAGTCATACTACTCCATAGCTGAAGTATTGGAGGACAATTCTGAAGTTAAAGACAAACTTGAAGCATCAAATTTATTGGTGCTGCTCACTGACGAGCATGAAAATGAAGAAAATCTGTTACATGGTCAGCACTGGCCTCATGGGAGAGGAGTGTTCATTACTAAGGATGGAAACATGGCTATCTGGATCAACGTACAAGAACATCTGCGAATTGTGTCATCCACTCCAAAAGATAACCCAAGCAGCTTGGGTGAGGCATATGATCGCCTTGCACACTTGATTATGGATCTGGAGACAATGTTTGAATTCAAGACAGATCTTCTACTTGGAAACTTGACTGCTTGTCCATCTGTCTTGGGGAATACTCTACACATCTATTTGACTGCACACCTGCCAAAGTTGGGACAGGAAAAAGACAAACTAAAGCATTTGTGCTCTGTCCGAGGACTGAACATAAAGAAGAAGTCTAAAGAAGAGGACATGTTTAACATATGGAACCAGCAAAGTCTGAGCATAACAGAACATCAGACACTGAAGGACTTCTCAATAGCAGCTTCCAATATTGTGCAACTGGAAAGTAATCACTCCAAGAAATCAAAGAAATAAACTGCCATTTCACCTTTAACGTAAACTGCAAGCAGCTTGTATCCTGGAAATATGGATTGCCATTTCACCTTTAACGTAAATTGCAAGCAGCTTGTATCCTGGAAATATGTTATTAATAAAGTAGCAAACGTTTGATTATATTGGAAAGTGAATAAGCTCTTGCCAAAATCATCAGAGCTACACTTCCAGTAAGTGGGATATTATGTACTTCTGGCAGCTACAAGTTGTGTGAGGCTGAGGTGTCATGCTACACATTTCTTCTCTTCAAGTATTTGTAAAGAACTTCACAGTTCCATGTATTACATCTAAAAAAATCAATAACTTAGAATATCAGTCATATCATCCACAAGGTAGTCAAATCCTGTTACCACTGGACTTTTGGCTGTGGCTTTATCAGAGTGGGCATGTACCAAAATGGATACCAGACAATTTGTAACTTGATCAACTGAATGGTACCAAATCCTGATGCAACAGTCTCTCTTGCGTAAACACATGTGCAGAGTACTGAAGAGGAAGGCCACTTGTGACATCATTATAGCAGTTGGGGGGAGAAAGAAAACTGCATTAATTCTGTCATTTCCAGATTAAATACGGTTATGACTGTAATAATGCTAGGACCTGTGTACATACCTATATACAAGATAAGGCGAACAGTGCATCAAAATCCATGTATGTTAGTGTAATGTGTTTCAGTGTTCTCTGTGCTGTCAAATGTAAAGGGTCACACATTAAAGTCACTCGCGATTAGTTCATCCTGTAGTAAACAGCCAGTCGGGACCAAATAAATTCCCACATGAATACATTGTTTTTTTTATGAGCTTTTCCATTTTTAGATCTAACAGGGATAGAACTGTATTTGAATTGAAAAAATCCATAACTTTGTATGTGTGTACTGCAACAATAATTAAAACTTCTGTTGACCAAAAAACTCTTTGTATGTGAATTATAGTAAAATAGCTTTAAAGTAGAATAACTATTATCCTTCACACCATAAACAATTAAACAATATGAGTAAGAACATTACAATCACATTTGATTCTAGTAAATTTTGCCTTTCATCGTAAATATAAACTCATGATGAACAGTAACCCTGTCTGCTGTTTGGGAGTTCTCGTTTTACTAGTATCCAGTTACAATTTAAATCCGTGTCAATTCAAACATTACATAATTATATTACAATATATAAACTTGGAAATGTCTACCAGTTCAAAAACAATTCTTGGCTTCACAAAATTATATTAAAAATGAAACCATTTTAGAAAATATGTCCTGTCTCAGCAGAGTTTGGTTCTATAAGAACCATCAGATGAAGCTTCACTGTCAGTATTTCAAATTTCTGTGATAATGCCTGGCAAATAGTTTAAATGTAAACACAATTTAAAATGTTTATACTAATAGCCTGCTGCAATATGAGACCCAGCATTTAATTGAAGACTTCACAAACCAAAGTTTACCTGACCCCTTCATACTGTAGACAGAATTTGATAAATTTATATTAAATCTGTTCCATTTTGAGTGTGTTGGGGCAATGTGCACAGTGATGCATGAATACTTATTTTTATATATTTCTTTACATAAAATATCTGTTGTAAGACTTCTACTCTTTCACTTTATCAAAATGGAAGGAAATGAAACTTATATACACGTTAACTGTAGCCATTCAATCCCATTCTCAGATGTTCCAAAACTAGATATAAAGATACATGAAGTTCATAAGTCACTGCTCATTGTAACAACTGACTCTTCTTGTCTTTACATTTGTAATTATTTTCCTTTGAACACAGATACACATCTTTAAACCGTAGTTAAATTATGAAGCAGGTGAAGTCTTAGCTGGTTTACTGTCCCGATTTTGATTTATTTAAATTTTCTTCTTACCCACCAAATAAATAACAGAAAAATGGATAATTTTCTATTTTCCAGCTCCTGTAATAATCTGATAATTTTGTGTCATACTATATAATTTCTATAGATGATATATTATTAGCCTATGAACAAATCAACCAAGCAAATAACCCTATTTAAATTAATGTCTGATTGATCATATCAATCGTTTATTTACTAAAATGAGAAATTCCCACTCTGGTGCAGTGAGACATTTTGAGATATCTGGAAAAATTAATCCTTATATTTTTATAATGATGAAGATTTACTTATTTTTACATATTATTATACATAATCTTTCTAATGTTTTAATGATTCCAAGGAATTTTAAACTAGTTAGCAGTCACCAGTCTTGAGTCTCAAGATAGCAATTCCAGAAAGATCTGGAGAGAACAACAAATTAATCTGTTCTACAGTGTGTTTTATAAAAAAGATGTCCAATTGTAAAGTATTCTGTTAGTACCACAACATTTCAGTCACACAAATTAATAGTATAGAGATTCAAAGTATGTGGAGTGGCTTATGAACCTATTTTAACATTCAGAGATCTAATCCCTCGAGTACTGCTATTTATTAAAATGACAATTTAATATCCATCGTTTTTACTAATAACTGAACAACAATTTCGTGGGAGATGGGAACTAAACCCTTCCTTCAGAGCAGCGTGATTCTACAATTCGACACAAACTTCTGGTCTCATTTGGAATGAACTTTAGGTCAGTACAGTACCAATTCCTTTCTGAACTTTGCTTCCTTATTGATGTCAAAATGATAACCACAATTATGAATAACTATCAAATTTGTAAACAACTAGCCAGCCAGACAAATCATACTGTGGAAACAATTATATGGAAGCAATGTGCTACGTAGCTTCGACTCAGAATTATTGTTGGAGTGTGGAGTGGACTACTGGCTCATGATGGGACCAGTGGCTCTTGTGAACTTTCAGGTTCCATAAAAGACGAGGAATTTCTTGACTAATTAACCAATTATCACATTCTCAAGGACCCTGCTCCATGTAGTGAAGAGTATTTCCACCACACAAGATGCAATGGTTAAATCCACATGACTTTATTTTATAAGAATTTTTTTACTTTTTGATCCTTTCACAACTGCACAGTGGAGTTGAACTTATTTATTCTTGGTTTAAGTAATGACACTGTCAATAATTAATACTGTGGACAGAGTTAAATGATATGATTAGTGAATAAGCAGTTGTGGCTTGCACTTCTCGTCTCTTTGATCCACCCATCATAACTTCCTTCATTTGACTATTTTAACATTACCATGTGAGATGCATTACTCTCAGAGTTCCTTGTTATGTAATATTCCCAATTCCCCATATATTTCATTTCAACTAAATTCATATGTTTTTCTTAAAATATTTTCTATAAAAACTTGCAATTATTAACTGACACAATATTGTAAAATATAATATAACCGAACGACTACCAGTATGATGAATTTTTAAATTGTGAGAATATTAATACATGTAAAGTTATCAGAATTTGGTAATCATTTTGACTTCTGTGCTTCATTTGGCATGTCTCAACATTTTTATTTCCTTCGGAATCATGTATCTCTCTTCATTCAAGCTACAGATGTTTGCTTTAAAATCTAGACAGAATTTTATTATTTACTTTGAATACCAGTTCACAGATGCACGTTGATCGGTAGGCCTATATGCATTTCCTTTGCATGTTCTGAACTCTATAATAAGTTTGATCAATGTTTTGCACATCAAACCAACACTCAATGAAATGAGAACTTAACTAGGCTTGATTACATAAAACAGTATGATATAATATGCCATGTTTCTGGCCTGATATTATTTGAGTGTGTTGTTCACTTAGCTTATGTACTGTAGTGTGGTTCTATGGTCCTTACTATGAAAGAAAGCATGGTTTAATTAATATTATGTCCTTAATATAAAAGTTGGAGATGGTAGTTACAGGGAGATAGTGAACTGATGCTTTATTTGTTCATAAAGCCATTGTTCAAAGATCAAGTTAATCTCTTTCACCATATGAACAGAATTAGTTTTAGAAATACCTTTTCTGATGGCCCCATGTGATATAACTGTTCCTTCAGTTAATTTTGTATATTTTGATCATCTTAACAATCCAAATGTATCAAAAGCAAGGACTTGGTCAGAGAAACAGCCAGTCAATGAAATGTCATATTAAACCATTTATAAATGAATGAATTAAGATTTCTAACACACCATCTCCTTAAAATATATGGTATATTATTTTAATATTAGTGTTCATTAACACTGTATTTTATATTCAATATTTGATGATTGTACCATTAATTTCAATTTGCATAAATTGCAGGTAACTTGCCCCAAAGAAATATCCCAGATGGAAGACCTGTTTTCTGGACAGAGGAAGGACAATATCTGACAAATGGTAAGCAAACTACACCTGATAATTATTTACACAATGTTTTTGAAATTGTGATAATTCAGAATTAGTCCATCACTCCTTAAACATACAAAATTACTTAACAGAAAAAATATTTTGTGTGAATACTAAAAACTAAGTTTAATGTGATCAAAATGTAGCATGCTTGCCACTGGACTCAAGGTTCGCAGGTTCAAACTCAGCCGAGGTCGATGGATTTTTAAGGGTGATAAAAATCCGTAGCACAACTTCCTCCGTCAGAGAGGAAGTAAAGCCGTAGATTTACGGCATGTTAAAGAACCTTATGAGGATCAAAGAGATGTTTGTCACCCATGTCTCTTCTGATCTGCTACTAGATGGCTCTAGCAGACAAATCAGGATTGAGTAGAAATTTTATGGAGGCAGCAGGCTTGTTGCCAACTGCTACTCTGAGGAAGGGGAAAAAATCCAAGATGACTAGGATGTGAGGAATGGATAAAAGGCTGTAAAACACTTGCTATAACAAGTAAGAAGGAAAAACTCAAATTTGAAGAAACACACACATATTTCCAAAAGTGTCTTGTTATTTTACATACTGCATGACAGTGATGCTCATTTATTGCAGATACAAATCTAATGTTGTGAAAATAATCACACTAAAGGTTGCACAGAAGCAGAAATCTTCTGTCCTGGTATTTTGTAGAAAATTACATAAAAATATTATTAAAATGAAAGCTGTACATCTTAAGAAATAAATGTCAATTTTTTGTCTTTCGTGTTTTGACACCACGCAGATTTATTGGTGGTTACTAAAATTTTGTAAGAAACATATAACCACCATCCTCGTGGTAAATGATGGAAGTGATATGTCCTGCCAAACCATTTATAACTGCAAGACCACACAGCATAAGATTTAAGAAGACTACAATTGACATCTTCACAGCCACGAGAACCTCAGGTCGAAGAATAAATTTTTCTGTTTCAGCTCTTGGAGATCCACTAGTCAAGGGTCTCGCAGAAGTCGCAAACGCAAGGCCGAGTGACCCAATTGCACACCTTGCTACATATTTGTATAATTATGCTAATACATCACGAGATATAAGAAATAACACTCAGGTCAGTGAGATGATACAGAAACATTCTGTCTTCAACTTCTCTTTATGATTTACACATGCTCCTGCTATAATAACATCTATATAACATCTACAGCAACCGCCACGGTGGTCTAGTGGTCAGAACACTAGCCTTGTAATCCTGGGGTCCCGGGTTCAATTCCCGGTGGTGCTCAGATTTATAACTTGTGTGTCTGTTACTTCTTCTTTAAGTTGTTTAATATGTGAAACAGGAAGACGACGATACATTAGATTTGACCACACATCCACAGACTACGGATTACAAGACTGACTTGCGTTGTCATTATTTACAACTATATCGGAAGTGTCAGTGGTATGTGTATTGAACACAAACATCAAAGACTGGGCGTGTACATCCGCCCGTCAGCCTGCCAAGAATGTTTAACCTCCGATAGAACTTGATCAATTTCGAATAAATTTTATATTTGGAGTTTATATAAAAGATTGTCGAATTTATAACTTGTGTTGGGCATGGCCGTGGTCTAGGCAACACGGAGTTTTCCTCCGTGGCATCCCAACAATTACTCCATTCACACACACAGAAGAAGGCAATGGCAAACCACTTCTGGATCATCTGCCAAGAACGTATATGAACAGGTCCCAGTCCGAGAAAAGGATGGAAGGATCATGTTCATATGGACCTGTCGTCAGACAGAACACTAATAATAATAATAATAATATCTACAGCAATCAGCCATGATGATAACAACAGGTCCTCCTGAAGCAGTTGGTAACTTTGCTGCAGCACTGCCTTCCTCTCTGGTTGAAGATCCTGACACAATTCAACCGGCCTCTGACTCTCCAGAAACTGCAGTTACCAGTGCAAACAGGGTACGCTGATATCTAGAGCTTGATCAGTCATGCACTAAAATCTTAAAAGAGTATGCATATACACAACAAAATACACATTTTTAATTACTATATTGTAAAAGGGCAGTACCACTAAAATATACATAAAAAAGAGGAGAAAAATAAAGAATGTATATGAAGAAAAGGTTAGGCTAAGATGAGTTTGTTAACAAGGAATTATTTCAAATGTTGCTACATACCAAACTTGAATCATAAGGAACGTGATTCAAATCCCAACCTAAGACCAGTTCTTCCAAGTTGTCTCTATAAACAGTACAATTAAATTTACACTAAAGCTCCATATTTTGTACAAAAAATGAAGCAATAAATAACACATCTTCTAATTTACTTGTTCTTACAGTTAAAATACTGTCCTACAGATGTCAGTAGTATTCGCAAAATAAATCTTCTATCTTGGCATGTAGTCATACCAAGGCCACGGAAGCAGATACCTGTTAATACATGAATATTCCACTGCAAATGTTTCAGGATGAGCACGGACAGAGTATGTTGCATTTTGCAGCGGCACGCTCCCATGGGCGAAATGCCCTATTCCAACTGCTGCAAGAAGTAGACATAAATGTCGGCTATCGAGATGAACTTTACCGCACAGCCCGCGATGTTGCAATTCAGGCTAACCTACCCGAGAACATACAAGATATTGACAAGTGGGTCCTTTACATGGCTGCAAGAGGTAAAAAAGGACAAAGGTGGAAGGTGTAATCTAAATTGACGTTTCTTGTACAAGTGTAAAACTTGGCATCACACTCTACGAAATTAACACAGGAACTGAGGAACTTCATAATTTATACTTTCTATAAAGTGTTTTTGGGAGAGTAAATCAAAGATAATGAATGCAATGGTTGGGATGTGTAGCACATTTCGAAAAAAAAAAAAACCCTGAAGGGAAGAAAAGATTATTTGGAAGACATAGGCATAGATAACAGTTTAATATTAATGGATCTTAGAGATATGTGAACATAGTGATGAACCTTGAGGTTCAATAAAATCAGGGAATTTCTAGAACCAAGTAACAATAAATTTTACAAGGAATACTTTGTGAAGTAGTCATTAAAGTATAATGGTTGTTCTGCGAGTTAATCGGGCAGAATGTTTTACATTTCACAGTTTCTCATTACATCTTGTAAAATTTTTTATAGATGCTTAACCGACTACTGTTGTAATAATCACGGCTGTGAGAAAGGCAGCTGTACAGTTACCACGCTATGTGATATATGTTCACAGGCGAGACTGAGAAGTTAATGCAGCTTCTACTGGAAGGATACGATCATATTTTAGACGTAGAAGATGAGGAGGAGAACCACATTTTTGATGTAGTGCAAAGACAAAATGAACAGGAGACCATGGCCTTTCTGCAATCAATACCATCTTTTGAGGTAAACTTACTTGTTCTCCTGAGATTTTGAAGTTCTCATAGTAGTGAATATGCTAATTGTTGTCTTCTGGGTTTTGAGGCCATGTGGTTTTGTAGACTGTTACCAGGACGACCTTCACTCTGAAGACAGAGGTGACACATTCCCTCACATGTCAGGTAACCACTTATAAGACTACAATATGAAATTTCATCAAAGTTCGGTTAGTAGTTTCAGAGACAGCACGTGCAGACAATTTCTTAATTGGACCACACAAGAATGACAAGACGGAATAAGTAAATTAATTAAACACTGTTCATCTCAACCCTTCAAAGTATGAAGCTGATTCAAGTAATATTTAAAAAATTCTGTCCACACTTCAAAGAAAACACAACACATCTCCATTACAAAGAAAATTGATTATTACTATTTACGAAATTGACTGTCATCATATATTCTGAGAATATTATAAAGCACATAAATACATTCTGTGGGAAGAATGCAGAGTTACTGAATTTTAAAAATAGGTGGTAAACATAATTACTACTGTACTTTAGAATTATAAGGGCAGCTCTTTTAGCAGGCTGCACCATCCATTTGTTAGTTACATAACAAGACCTTAAAAATATTGTTAGGACACCATACTACAGCTTGATAATTTTTAACAAAATTTTAAAGGATTCCAATGATCTGACCCCTGGAAACTGTGAATCAATTTAGCCAATGGAGAGCCTGCCAGTATTGAATCTGGCTAATACTTAAGATGTCCCTTTCTTATTCATTTAAAATCAGTATATCTTAAGAGATAGCTCCACCATGCAAGGCTTCATTGCAGGAAAGACGTGAACAGCTGCATAGTACGATTCGGCGTGGTAACATGGAGGAATTGAAAAGCATATTAACTCCAGAGGCTGGCAAGGGTAAATTGCTCGCGGTAGCAAAGAATGCCTATGGCCGATGTTCTCTACATATAGCAGTCCTAAGTCAAGATGAGGAGATGACCGAATTCATTGCAACTAATTTCCGAGAGACGCTTCGTGTTGGAGACAATGTAAGTACATCAGTATTGAACACGTGACACTCAAGATACCCAAATTTCAGTATATACCTCCACACAAAGAGTACATTTTTTAAAGGTCTTGTTGGAAACATTTATAGTTATTCAGCTGATCAAAAAAACTCTGTTATGAAACCCAAATGTTCATCACCATCATCAAATTAGCCTGCAACTGTATCTTATACTTAGTCAGTTCAATCGAATTCACATATTAACAACCTGCTTCTGTCTATCCTGATATTATCCTTCATCTATGCACAAGTAAAATAGCTGCATTTAAAAGAACTTACTTAAATTCTAGGAAGTAACTGCCATACAGATGTTTTTTTATATTGATTAAAATGATGGAAGTTAATAAAAGAACAAATGGGAAAAATGAGGCCACCATAAACATGTTTCTTCAGAGCAACCCCACGATAAAGATGATAGATCATAAATACAATGATATTCAAAAAGAAGTTGAAATAACAGTTATCAATATAATAACAAAAAACATTTCAAAAGAAAGGGTTAGAACATTTGGAAATAAAAGTTTCTCTATCAATATAAACCAAAGGACAGAAAATGACAAAGAGAGAGAGAGAGAGGGGAAGGAAAGTTATAAAAGATGTTACTGGAAGAGGTCAAGAGCTTAAACAGTGATCATATCTCCTAAATGGTTTCTTTGCTTAAAACCCTGCAGTTGGAGAGAACACCTCTGCATTATGCCATGGGTCTGGAGAAAGTCGAATCACTCAGTGCCATACTGATAAAGGCAGGTGCCAAACGAGTTCTCAAAGATCTGGTGAGTAATTCTGCACATCTATTTCCACTTCAAACTCCAACAATTTGGAGAGACTTAATGATAAAAATATGTATTCTCCACTAAAGGCTAAATATCAGCGAACCCAACAAAACATATTCAAAGGCTAAATTAATTAATTTTGGACAATCATTTAATATTATAAATCCTACACCCATCCTCTGTTAGCGTGAATAATAACAGACTACATAGTTACTCAAATAAATTCCAATGGTCATAATAGATTTCAGCCTAGGTTCATCAAGAAATAGCAATATAAATGTAAAAGCAAAATGCATAATCTCAATTGAATAGTAGAAAATTGTATTTTATTTATTCATAGATTAAACAATTTTGGCAATTCTGATTTTTCTTTTTCAATGTTACAGAAAGGCAGACAGCCGAGTTATTACTTCATGAACAAATCTGATATTCTCCGACTAAAAGATGATGAAGAGGCTATGAATATGTAACAACATAAATTATTTGTTTCTATTGATTTAAACGTAGTTTCACTTTGAATGCACTGCAGTTTCTGTGTACAATAAATATATATAATAAAAATATATTAACCCTTGCTATGTAGCAATACATTGTTTTATAGAAATATATTCTTTAACCTGCTTTTGGCAGATTCACTCAGCAATGACTCGGCTCACTCGGTACTAAAAAAGATGTAACTTGCATGGGGGGGAAGGAAGGAATATCAGGATGCAATGTTTCTTTGTCCTTAGAGAATACAAAAATATTGACATATAAAACTGATCCCTATTCCACACTAGAAATGTATTCTAATTAAAATGAGCAACAAACCAAGGACTATGATTTTCCCCCCCACCAAAACTTGAAAAACTAGGGGGGGGGGGGAAATTAAGATAATTCCTAAGAAGAAACTTATACTGAGAAAAAAAAGCTTGATTACTATGCAAATCAGTTAATAGTACCAAACAAATAAAAATGGAATATATAGTATATTCAGCATGTTCAACATGATAAATGTAACACAGTACCATTCATTTTCTTGTTGTTAATTCAAACTCAAGTATCACATGCAGCAAGGTTTAACCAGTTTCTTCCTCCCTGGATCTTCAACGACATATGTTTTAGGCTCCTCGATTATATTTTGCCAGGGAATAGGATTCCAGTTAAGCCTAGCAAGTGACGGATCAGACTGACCTGAAAAGCAATACACAGGCCACACCATCACATAAAGCTGTTAATGTCATGTGAAAAATAAAGTTATAACCAGGGCAGTAAAACTCCTGAACCATTACATACCTTCGGTCAGGCCACATTTAGTGCCTCCACCAAACGTGTTTCTACATTACATGACATACAACCAGCCAACCAACAACTTGCCAAATTAACATCCTTACAAAAACCATGCTGCAGTAAAATGCTAGTTAAATATTAATGTATGCATAATGGAACACAGTAATAAGTTTCAGAACAACGAAGTTTTATTTTTGGTTCATATGACAATCTATTCAACTTTTATTTTTTTGGTTCATATGACAATCTATTCAACTGCTAAGATCATACAGCATCAAATAACAGAATAATCAGTGAATATTGAATTTGGAAGGAATTGGAATGAAGTGGTCATGGCCTAATTTAAGATTCTATTCCAGCAATAGCCTTTGGGGGGGGGGGGGGCCTCAGCCACATAACTGCACCCTGGTCCTAAGATTTGAATCTGGCACCTCCTGAATACGAAACAGCAACATTCTGATTGCAGATTTTTGTGTGTATATACTAAATACTTTGTAAACTTAAAACTACAGTACACAGACCAACCTTTATGATCTCTTATTGCAACTGACATTGGTTTAGGTCTAGTCTTTGCCGTCTCTTTCCACTGTTCAAAGGCAGTTATGCTTCTTTCAGCTCGTAATCTCTTTTCTTCTTCCCTTTCTTGTTGCAGCCTCACCTCCCTTAACTTTTGTTCTGGTTACAACAACAACAAAGGTTAATTAATAATAATGAACCTTGCTGGCTCCATGTTTAAATCTTCCTGAATGATACAAGGCAGCATAATACTACTCTGTCATGTTTCTATTCGAGTACTAAATTATCCATACCTTTCTGTTCTTTATTCTTTCTTTTCACCCACTCTGCATGAGATCTTTCAGCCATTTCCTGGTCTTGTTCTTTTTTCTGCTTCTCATTCTTAAGAATTTTTTTAACATCCATTTGCTTTGCCTTATCCTCCCTTCGCCTTGCTGCATCTTCCTTACCCTTTTTCTCCTTCCAAATACGAATATATCTGTCTTCAAGTTCTTGCTTTCTTAGCCTCTGTTCTTTCTGCCTCTCCTCCTCTGCCATTTTTTTAATTTCTTCATTCTTTTTAGCTTCTCTTTTTTGCTCTAATTTTGACATATACCATTGACGCCATGCACTATCCTTATTTGAAATTAAACTGTCCTTGTTTTCAGTCAAAAGACATTTATCTTCCAAGTGCAAACAATGTAGATCACCTTTCCCAGGTACTGCACTTATGATCTTTCTGCAGATATGCTTTTCAGGAAAACTTCCTGAATAGCTGGCATCTACAAGTTTTGTGGTATGTGTCCTTGTTATCCCAGATACAGAAGATTTGACATTAGTGTAATCATCCATCATTATTTCTCAGGAAAAAAATATCATTAAACGGAACAGTCATGACGTTTTTACATAAAGAAAGACCAAATAAACACTGGTAGCAGACTCTGCAGGTTCAATAATGCTAATACTAAATAATGGCACTGTACACTCTTATAAATCAGTTTCACACTTTTACAAGCAAGACAGCATCATTGTTTTGTTGTAAGCAAAGGTAAGAAATCTGGGTCTTGCATAAAATAAATAGAATTAATATTTTTCTTCAGATCCTTCATACTTCATTGTTTAGGCTAACAAAGACATCATTAAAGGAGTTTTGAAAGTGGTAGCTATCAGGATGATGTATTTATATAAACAGGTAAACATCAACATGACTCTTGCACTAAAACCAGTAACTAATCTTTTGTGTATCTCTGATCCACCAGTAGTACCTACTCAACGCATATCTTACTCAGTACAGTCTCATGGCAATCGCCCGGCTCCAGGAAATGCCGACCCAAATGGCAGAATCATAAATCTGGTGGCCACAGTCAAGACCTCCCTATAGATCCCAGGTCTTGTACAGCCCCTGGGTCTTTGAAGAGGATTAACCCCTTATAAAGGATACTGCTCTCTGACCTGGGCCTTTAAGCACCCTAGTTTGGGCCTTCCTAGGCTTAGGTAGTGCCATAAGCCATCAGTACTACTCTGCCTCTTCCTAGTTTTAAGCTTCCTTCTGGTCTATACCAGATAAGGTCTCTCTATGGAACAGTTGTCTTCTCAGCATCCCTGGGTTGGCTGATACTATCAAGATGATAATAATATTAGTATAATCTATGAAGAGTATTATAAATATATTTTGTGTTAGCTTTAAAGTAAAATCTTTAATGAAAAGAATACTAAGTTGGAAAGTAAGGTACCTAACCACAACATATGGTCATGATCATCAACATTACCAGTTTCAGAACCTCATCTAGTGACTCTTCACATAAATTGATTTTAGAAGTTACACTAGCCCTTTTCAAACTGAAAACTTTATCATATGTTAAGCAACTATTGTCCATATAAAATCTCCAGAAACAACACGAAATACCAACTTGCGACAAACACAATGTTAACAGTTGGCAACGCAAGTGGCTTATGACGTCACGAACAAATGGTGCTGCCATCTGTCCGCATTTTCTGTGTAACTACTATAGAAACTATTGATTTTAACGATGGTAGCAGCCAATGCCAAGAGTTTAGTCGATAACAACGTTAACTACCATGTCTTTTGCTCAAACTTCCCCTCTGAACCTGCTGTAACTAATGATGTAAATTAATTTTTCAAAGTAGTGGCATATAGTTATTGTATTGATGACAAGTGTCAGTTTGTTTCTTCTCACTTTAATACTGGATACTGGGATAATGGGAACGACCTGTTCTTCAAGTGCCTGAGCACTGCGGGTCCCAACTTTTCGTTGGCTTGATCTATAGACATTAGGTAGGACTCTTTGGATGAGGGATCGGCCCGTCGCAAGGCCTCTACCTGCACACAGGACAGCACAACACAGAAAGACGCAGACAAACATGGCTTGAGTGGGATTCGAACCCACGGTCCCAGCGACCAAGCGGCACAAGGCCCACGCCTCAGACCGCGCGGCGACTGCAGACCCCACTTTAATACAGCTGTTATATATCTCTCAGCTTCAAAACACACATTGGAATCTGTAAAATTTCTTGAATTATCCTTTTTAAATTATTCTGATTTGTTTTATTTCACTACAACTTTGTTAACTAACAAGTGAAAAAAGGTAGGTAAATTTTCACATAATTTCTGTCTGTATAACATAATTTTGAGTGACAAATGCAGCCAACGATTGAGTGATCTGCTATTTGTAATGTTTCATTAAATGTCACTCTGTCTAATATTACTCCTGATAATGTATATCAGACTACCTGTAGGAACTTTGGAGAGTGGACAGAAAGAGTTAAATTCTTATAAATTTGTCATTATAAATCTATTTCTTCTGGCTTAAGTCTAACCAGAACCTCACTCTTCTCCCATAGTTTCTTGGCTAGACCCTCGTCCCTTGCTTCCTTTGACATATTTGCTTCCTGTAGACAAAAATTTTATTTATTTCACAATATATTCAAACATTTATGTATTAAACACAAATTATGAGCCTGTCCTGCATATGTTCATTACAAAAGTTAGTAAATTATTGATTTACATCACAGTTATGTGAATATGATGCATTGTGTGAGGTATATGTAATATACATAATATTTTAGTAGTTTGCTGTACTTCCATCTGCAGGATATATTTTTTGTATTAATGGCAGCAGTCAGGATTGAGTCTGGTACTCTTTGTGTATTAATTTGTTTGGTTTAGTGGTTTGCATAGAAGTTTAGTACTGTTCAATATGTTCCATGCTAAAACAATTTAGTTCACCTAAATATGTCTTCTGTTTCTGTGTTTGAAATTAGCCTGTATATATTATGATATATTTGGCTGCTTAAACATAATTCCCTGCAGAATTTATTATATAGGAACAAAATATCACAAAAGTGTTTTCCAATGAATAAATTGAATTTGTTTCTAATGTACAAACTGTATGTGTTAAGGACCAGCCCATCTTGAAATTTTTAAAAATATTTTTCATATTTTCTTTAAACTATTTAACATGTCTACCATGTTCCTTTGGCACTGTTTGTGGCCTTAATGCAACTGTCTGATCAAACATGACACAGGCCTAGTGAAATGCTGTGGAAAAGGACTTATATAACACATTTGTGGTGTTTAGCAAATTAAAATATGCTGACTTGTGTATTTTTCAGCTGAACATTTGCAACAAAAGTATGACATGCATGAATGTAAAGTACAGAAATTGCTGTGTACTCAAGTAAAATAAATCAACAGATAACTGACCTTGCAATCTGAAAAATATTTGCCAGACACTTCTTCTACTTCTTCAGAAACTGCCAAGTAGATGGAAGTTTGTGCACCTTCTTTAGTATCCTAAAATTAAATTATAATGTGAATAGAAATGATATTCACAGCCTACAAAGGGTAATGTTGATTTTGGTTTTCTAGGTTGTAACAGTATGTGGACTTTTAGGTAGATACCAAAATTTCAGGGAATCATATTCCCGCCATCTTCAGCCCTGAAGATGGATACAGTATGTAACAACCCAGCACACCAACATTAACATTCTCTCTGCTGTGAGAACCTCAAATCTCACATACCATGGGACAGATCTTAGATAGCAGTTCTTAAGCAGAAATGTGTTGTTACCATATTTATGAACAAAATATTTACCTTGGCCACTTTCAGTTTCAAATAACATTTTGAGGTGGATACATTGCTGAATTTTTTGGTTATTTAACAATGCTGTTTCAATATAATTCATGCATATAAACAAAATCATCTGCAGAGATTTACATGTTGTCTATTGAGAAGAGGAGATAATGGCTTTTGAGTTTGTAATTTTATGGAGATCAGAGATTGCTGTAGCATATTTGAATGTGTTATCTTGGAAGTCACCTAGAGGTAATGAGTAAAAGTATACAAGCGTCAGTTACGAAAGCTTTTCAAAAATAAGTATCAAACTAGGGCACTCCTAAGTACAAGTCTAGAACTGTACCATCATACTAATGTGCTCTGTTCTTTGCAGATAATAGTCATTAAAACTTCAGTAAATATTTAATAAAGTTTAAGCAAATTACTGACATAAGCATTTCAGAAATACAGAATCAACATTCTGAATACTAAAACTAAAGTAATATAATTGCCACATGCCTTGAAGAAAAATGACATGATGAACTTAGTAATGTAGTAAATGGGCTGTGGCAACTGCCGCATGATGTCTGTTACCACTACTCCAGGATGCAAACTGTTGACAGTCACGCCTATAAACACAGAGAGTTGATACATAAGGTCATCTACATGCAGGGCATAAGAAAGATAACATATCAGTTATTCACTACCTACATGAGCATTTATACTTAATTTAACGAGAAAAATATTTTATATTATGCACATTTTATAGATGTAGTGAATCATTTTGAAAAAATCTAACAAAATATTGGTATGAAATTAATCTTTTCCTGACATTTTTTTAGGATTCTGTACTGTAGACTTATGGTTTCTAGACTGAAGGATTAGTTAATTACTGTGTAAACATCAGAACAAAATTAGTCATTTACTTTTGTCTTGAAGAGCTCAGCATGTTAAGTTTTAATAAATGGAGAAAAAGTTCAACAGCCCAGTATTAAAGGCTGAAGTTGAAGTCAGTGTACCTGTGCCGTTCAACTTCCTGGATAATTCATTGGCTACAAGAATATTGGCTAGCTTACTGCAGTTGTACACTTGGAAATCATTAAACCACTTTTCAGAGTTGAGATTGTCCAAGTCAAATTTTGCATATTTATGTACCATAGATGAAACCATCACAATTCTGCTAGGAGCTGACTTCTTCAACAGTCCTGAAACATAAACATTTAACAATTACTGACACTCTTACATTTGACTTCCTATCCACAAATCACACAGCTCTCATTGTTAGTCTTACCCACTAGAAGGC